AATGCCTTCATATTCTAAATATGCATGTAACATCGTAAAAATCGGGGGGGGGGGGCCGGATTTTTACGCCACGTGTTCGTGTAGTCCCATATACATCTGTCTGTGCAAGTGTAACTTTACCAAGACTTGGCCACGTTTCTTATCATTTTGATGATTCCAGAACCTTGCAATACACACAAATTCTTATATGCTAGAACTAGATGATCAACCTTTTCTGGTCGGTTCCACACCGTTTCTTTCACAATGCAATCGCATGACCAGAACTCAACTTCATCCTTAAGTTCCCCTTCCTCCGCGCGTAGCGCGGAAGCTCTGACGTTTCGTTAGATTATTAAAGAAAGAAGACGATTCGTTGTATCTTGTCCTTGTCTGAATTCGGTTTCCCCGCGCGGAAGCTTTCACATTTCATTAAATTATTAGAGAAGGTATATGATTCGTTATATCGTGTCCTTGTCTGAATTCAGTTTCCCCCCCTCCCGCGCGAAGCGCGGAAGCTTTGACGTTTCATTTGATTATTACTCTTAATCCACGTCTGAAATCAATTTTGCCCATCCCGCGCGTAGTGCGGAAGCTTTTACGTTTCATTGAATTATTAGAAAAAGAAGACGATTCGTTGTATCATGTACTTTGACGTTTCATTTTTAATCCTAGTCTGAATTCAGTTTCCCTCCCCCCTCCCGCGCGAATCGCGGAAGCTTTGACGTTTCATTTGATTATTACTCTTAATCCACGTCTGAAATCAATTTTGCCCATCCCGCGCGTAGTGCGGAAGCTTTTACGTTTCATTAAATTATTAGAAAAAGAAGACGATTCGTTGTATCGTGTACTTTGACGTTTCATTTAAATAACTCTTAATCCTAGTCTGAATTTAGTTGCCCCCCTTCCGCGCAAAGCGCGGAAGCCTTGCCATTTCACTTAATTTTTAGAAAAAGAAGACAATTCGTTGTACTGTTCTCTATATTAATCCTTGTCTGAATTCAGTTGTGACATAATAATCTTTCTCCAAAAACGAAAAAATGTTTTAGGGAATATCAGGAAATAAAATGAGTCAGTAAAAAAATAAAAAGAAAGATACAATGACGTGAATTTTAAAAAGGGTGAACGGAAACACCATAACAACTAGTGAACTATCTTTCTCCTTGTCTCCGATCTCATCACGAATCCGTCACAGGGTTCATCTATGTTAACACTGTCCAGGATTGTCTGATGTGCATTGCAGATTGCTACTTTTGCGCTTCACGCTTAACATTTAGCTCGTTGCTTTTTGACGCTACGTCTTTGCATTTGGCGCACTGCATTTCTATGATGCTGTTAAGTGAATAAATTCATCAATTCCTGATGAAGCCGAATGAGCGAGAATTCAATTTATTCTTGTCTCATATACGGTTGTCTCATTTACTTCGTATATGTATGTATTATGAAAATGAGATATGTATATTGATGGTTATCTTGCGAGTAATAACCATTAACTACTCTCATCGGGCTCTCATCATTACTTTTTCTCTTCATTTTTTTAAAATTTGTATGGTGAATTATTGGGGGGGGGGGGGTGATTGTACAGGCCACCCCCCCACCTGAAATATTGGGGGGGGGGGGGATATACCCCCCCCCCCATCCCCCCGGGATCGACACCCATGCTTTGTACTTTGACACGTGCTCCTTTTATTTTCTAATAAGTGTCTTATCCCTTCGATAAGTGTCCCCCTTTCCTCTCATTTAAACGTGCCCCTAATTTGAAGCGACTAAGAGCAATATCTCCCAAAGCTCGCTCGCTACGCTCGCTCACATTTATAGATGTTATAATTATGTTACTTATCAAAGGTCTTTTCGGTTTGCTGTTATGAAAATGTGCTTATTCATAACCCGATGAGGATTGTTTTTTCCTCTTTATAAGATGTAGTTTTCGCACTGTGACCTCACAAATCTTATATTTGTCCTCGCTCGCAAATGATTTTTTCGACCATCACACCCAACTGCAAGGTATGATGCTTTAAAAAGCAATATTTTATACGATGTATAAGGAGAAACAAATATTGAAATCATCCCTGATAATGTAATCAAATTTTAGGGGTAAATACCAATGTCTAAAAATTGTTTATTTTCGCTTTGAGATTTCCCTTTGTAAGTGCCCTTTTTTCCCAGAAAGTGCCCTTTTTTGTTGGTGCCCCCCCCCCCCCCCACTTTGGAAGTCGCTCCGCCGCCTCTGCTGTAACTTGCACAAATATGAAGTAATACAAAAGGGCAAAATGAGATGTGAGTTGGTCGTGTACGTGGTACATTCAATGGGTCAACTCCCTGTCTTCGCTCACAAACTCACCCAGACAGTCCCCGGTTTAAACTGAGTCATGTCCTACGGTTGGTCCCAAAACGTAAATAATATTTTTATATTATGATGCCTTAGTTAAATTTAGTTCTTTTGTCACGGGGCTTACGTCATTGAGCAAGGCGTTTTACCTACTTTGGTCCTCTCCACCTATATAGGTGCCGAAAGGGTATACCCGGTGGGATGCAAAGGCTCATGTGATTGGATTTAGCAAGCACGTGCCTGAATCATAGAAGAAAGGCAGCCACCTGAAATGCTCCCCAGGGGGTGGAAAATGTGCACTGTAATGTGCGAAATAGGCTAGCGACCGGAGTGATGCTAATATACGTACTGATAGCGCTTAAGTTATTTGTTACTCGTAAAGCGATTTGTTATTATTATCATTATTATTATCGTTATTATTGTTATTGTCATCATTATTATTATCATTATAATTATATATCACAGAATAAAGAGGGAAGAAAAGGGAAAGGAGGATAATTGAAGGCAAAGGTAAAAGTTGGACCTGTTGCATGTGCATTGATCTACGTTTTCCATTTCACATTTTCTTTAATACTGTCATGACTAAACATCGTAATGATAAAACATTAGCTACCAGTGGTATTATCTCTCTACTCTCTCTCTTTGTTTGAGGCCTGCAGAAATCGCAACAAAACAGTTCGACATCTAAAGATTCTACCAACCAGACGCCCTCAAAGACTACCGTTACAACAGCGAGAACTATCTCATCACGGCCATTGAGGGCGACAGATTTGAAAACGAGCTGGGCAGTCATGATGTGGCTGATGTGTTACTTGGTTGCAGAGAAAATATGAAAGATAACGTGTTGTTAAATCATGTATTGATTGGGCTGCAATCAATTTTCGCTGCAAAGTTGCCGAAGGGTTTAATAATAATATTTAGTTTTTATATAGCGCTTAATACGTCTCGAAAGTCTCTAAGCGCTTTACAGATATACATAATTTTACCCCGGTCATTGGATTTAGTGCTTGCCCGCAAACAATGTGTGCATAATCCAGGCGCGGATCCAGGTTTTCTTAGGGGAGGGGGCCCAACTTTTTTTTTTTTTTGCTCCCGAAAATTTGAAAATCGCGCCGGCCGAAAAGTCGCTCAGGGGGGGGGGGGGGGGGGGGGGGGGGGGGGGGGGTTAAGCGGACTTTTTTTTTTTTTGGAGTCCCAAAAAAAATCGCAACGACTCAGCCAGCCGAAATTTTTTTTTTTGGTCCTCGAAAATTTTTAAATTTGCACCCCCCCCCCCAAAAAAAGGTAAAAATCGCGTGATTTTGCATGATTTTTTTCTCAAGGGGGGGGTGGGCCCGGGCCCCCCCCCCCCCCTGGATCCGCCACTGGCATAATCTCCACTCCCTGGGGAGCATTCCAGCCAGGCGTTACTTGACGCTCAAAAACTGTTTGACCAACAATGACGGTCGCATCCTACCGGATACCCATTTTAACACCTGGGTGGAGAGTAGCAAGTGCATGTAGATTAATATCTTGCCAAAATATTAGTGCCGTGTCGGGATTCGAACCCTCGACATTTAAAGAGGCTGTTTAAACACAGAAAGTCCCAGAAAATAATGATGGAAAACGCACTTTGATTCGGAGTCGTCTTATCTAAATGGTTTTCTACGAGAGCCTGTAAAAACGTGGTTTCTCTATAAAACGCTCGCTTAAGGGGGGACCCAAACCCACAAAAAGACCCACCTAGAAATAATCGCTTGGTGGATTATTGTAAGAAATAATTTTCAAAAAACATTAGTACTAATTAGGCTATAAGACCAAATTACTATTGCTCCTATTACTTTTTATTTTCATCAATATTATTAATATAATTATTATTACATTCTTTTTTAAACTTATACCGCAGAAGTGGTGACATCCTTATCCTCCTCCTCCTTAACATCATTATCATCTTCCCCATCATCATCACCATCGTGATTATCCTCCTCATTTTCCTCCTCCTCCTCATTTCTCATTATGACCACCACCACCACCACCATCATTCAAGCACATACAATACATATCCACCCTTTCTCTCTCCTTCTTGATGGTGTGCTGTCCGATACAACTTATGTGTTCAAATTTTTTGTCAAAGCATTGCCATAACACCCCTATCACCCATCAATACCATTTTTTAAAGTTATCACTTATTAATCTTTATAAGACCACATTAACACCCAAACATTGATCACAGCCTTGAGAATCATCAGTCATCATAGTTTGATGTCTATGTGCACGTGCAATATTGAGCCGCCATTCACAGTGGCGTCGATTGATGGGGGACTCGGGAGGAGAGAGGGGGGGGGGGGGGGAGGGGTGGTTATGTGTCCCTTCCTTCAAGTGGCGAAAAGACAAGAATAGGAAAAGAGGATGTGAGCGAGAGGGAATGATAGAGAATGAAGAGATAGAGAAGGGGAGGGAACGAAAAGGGGACAAAGAGAGAGAGATAGAGAGATAGAGATAGAGAGATAGAGAGATAGAGAGAGAGAGAGAGAGAGAGAGAGAGAGAGGGAGAGAGAGAGGGGAGATATAGATAAAGCGTGAGAGAGCAAGAGAGAGACAGAGCGAGAGAGAAAGAGAGAGAGAGAGAGAGAGAGAGAGAGAGAGAGAGAGAGGGGGGGGGGGGAGAGATAAAGGGGGAATACAAATTAGAAGTGAAACACAAGAACAAATAATATTCATATAAAATAGAAAATAGGTACTTTTATTATAGTAACCAAATTTACAGATATAATGTCATCACGCGCCGAGATAAATCGAATACAAAATCACTTGAAAAGTGATATACCTCTTTGGTTTCCAGCAAAAATTGAATGTAGAATATTGTAATTAATTATTCAAATCATTTATGAAATTCTTATCTAGTACATTGAAATTCTTTGATCAGATATTTAAAGTTTTTGTTCCCCTTCTCCTCCCCTTTTCTTCTTCTTTTTATCTTCTCTTCTTCTTCTTCTTCTTCTTCTTCTTCTACTTTGTATTCATTAGAGTATAGAGTTTACAGAATTTCTGGTGATATTTCTGAACCCTTCATCCAATGACGATTATTTATTCATTATGTAAATAATTGTTTGGATCAAGGTTACATAAAATCTTATAAAATGAGGAAACCATACGTACAATAAACTTTACCATTTATCTAAAGAGGACCCCTAAGCCGCCCCTTTCCTATTGTTTCAAACAAATCCTATGGTCACAAAACGACCATAAAAAGAAAATATAGAACCTCCAATCAGAAATAACCTTTCGTGATGGTTATCTATCATTTCATAGCGTCGCTGTGACGTCGTTCTTGATTGGTTCTTTAATCGCAAGGATTCTTTGCACAACCTCAGTATTGGCACTGGAAAGGAGGAAGGGGGGGAGCGGGGCGGAGGGAGACTTTATATCCAAGTCAAAGGGTTTGCCCCCACTCCAATCAACCCCCAGAACGAAAGTCATTCACCTTCTTGGATCGAGAGAAAAAACATGTATTCCCCTCCCTAAAATATGTATTGTCCGCAAACTCTACCTGGTGTCGTTTCGAATATCGGTATGATTAAAAAATAACTTTGCAATGAAGTCTACTACTTCCCTATATCCGTATTGCACAGAGACAATGAAAGACGAGTTTAATCCTAAAAGCTATACTGTTAGATTGATTGTCGAAGGAAAACGCGAACCTTCGGCAAAAAAATTCCTCATCTGTAGTATACGCTAATCGATATACAAGTAATTAATCAATCGTACATTGTACAAGATTAGTGGTACAATTATCATGAGAACTTTACGACTTCGATTTGTTAAGATGAGACTCAATCAAGTATCTATGTAGCACATGTTGTCAATGTTTTACAATACAGAAATTAAAAAGGCAAGGATTAAAGAATATGTGATATAAGAAACAATAAGGCTGATACATATTGAAACATATTCTAAAAAACATATAGTTCCAGTTACGAATATCCTTGACTATTAACCTTATAAAATGTTGTGGTCCTTAACTTTGTTGAAAATTGGTCCGTAGCTTCGGTTTGACATAATCTTTAAAGAAAGGAAAATTAAAAAATATTGTCCTTTAGGTTACATATTTTATAAATTAATTCAATTTCTTCAAAGGAATACAATTATATTGCAGTTTTTTAGTTAGGTTCATTAGATAGTATCTATCTTTCTATCATTTCTAATTTCATTCTCAATCAGAATTGAAGTCTTTAGTTAATTTAAATCTTCGACTTAGGTTTTATACCCTTATTACCATATTGTTTACTTCAAGCTAGGTAGCAATCAAAGGTGACCCATGGCCGGTAGATTTTTTTGTTATTATACATCTATATTTACATTTGTGAATTCATGCTGCAGTTGGGAATAGTACCAACATTTTATTATTGTCCTCGACGATAAACCAGATTACAATAATAAGATAAATAAAATGCTTTTATTCAGAAATAGATTTAAAAAATGGACTTCAACAGTAAACAAATTTGGTTGCGAAAAGTAAAGAGCAAATGGGAAAATTGCAATCACTCATTAACATATTATTTCAAATGATGCAGTTTAATCCTCCTAGTGCTTCGTGTTTGCGTGTCACTTATTGATCATCATTATGATATTTATCATCATCTTCATCATCGTCCATTATACGTCAAAATCAAGATCTGCTCTCGATCCTCCATTAGCCTGCAACTTCTTCTTCCTGTCATCTCTCTCCCTCTGTTTGGTGTTCAGAATTTCCTGCTTCCACTTATCGGCTTCTTTGTCAGGGTTACAGACCTTCCCCGCTACCTTGACGAGGATGAGGATGAGAACGAGGGCGCCGACGACGCCCATGGCGCAAAGAGCTCGGAAGTTGAGCGGGTCGTATTCGGTTACGAACATGACGGTGTCGCTACCAATGGATGCGTCGCCCGCATCGTGAGTGAAAATCGTCACATTGTAGTAGGTGGAAAACGTCAGCGAGGTGAGAGTGAACGACGCCGAGTTAACGTCATCGATGGTTTCGTTGAGGACGACGTTGAGGGCTTCGTCGAGGACGTACACGATGTAGTAGCTGGCTTGGGAAAGGTCACTGGGGACAAGCCAGGTCAGTTCCGCTTCACTTGTGCTAATCGAACTGCTGCTTATGTTGGTCGCGTGCGTAGCCGCGCTCGTGGATGAGACGAGGGCGACGAGGAGAATGAACGCGGTGATGATGGTGACGATGGCGGAAGATTCCCCCATGTTTGTTGTTGCTTGACGACAGGAAATGCTAATAGGGTGGTCTGGTCGATGGTGAGACACTTTGAATTGAGAGATGCTCCAATATCTGAGAAAGATAACAATAACAAAAAGTTGTTTAAACTTGGAGAAGTAATACAAAGGGAATTCGAATAGGGAGAAGTGGGAAAGTCATCTCTAGATAATCCAGGAACGAATCAAGGACTTTGTGACGGGAGGGGGGGGGGGGAGGGGCGTGGCAACATTAAGTATGTAATCATCTTCAGCAAAACGGTGTGCTCGCATGAAAGAAGCAGCAGCGATGGGTTGGTCTACATGATTGTGCAGGCTGGAGACGCTGTGTTCATCAGGTGATGCGCCAACAAAATTCTGCTGATTATAGAGATGACTTCAGATGTATCATTCTTGAAATCAGCAAGATTATTGTAGGAGGGGATCGAAGCCAAAAAAAAAGGTGTCTTCAACTGTACATTTACATGGCATTAGAATGTTCTTTTCAGGGGGGGGGGGGTAGGAGTTACCTGTTATTGTGCCCTGTTTTATCCACTGACTGGTGAGAGATGTATGCAGACGTATAATATTACCCAAACAGCCTGGCAAGATGAAATCAAACTGGACCGGAGTATGTTTCTATCTTTCATCGAGCACCTATATTTGTCGCATACCATTCGGGTTATACAATGTACTTGTGCTGTACATGGAATATACTCGGCTACGCCATTGTCTTTGCAAACTAAAACCATACGCTTAAATGCAATCTTGCCATTCTTCTGTCTGATGGCTTGAACATGATATATGTTTAATAAAGGGAGTGGATTCTGTGTGCGTGTGTGTGTGTGTGTGTGTGTGTGTGTGGAGAAATAAAACAAAATTGTTGAAAAAAAAAAAAAAAAGGGGGTTTGGTGGGGGTGGGGGATTCCCCAAAATATCTGAAAACCAGCAGCAAAGTTTATCCTGTTCGTAGGTACTAATAAACTATGATAATAAAAAAAATCATGTTTAAAGTAAATAAATAAATAAAAATATTTATTCATAAGTAGATGGAGAGATAAGCAAACGAATAAATGAATGGATAAATTAAAAATAATTTAATAAATAAATTAAAAACATTTAATTTATTGACAAATATTGATCATGATTTTCAAGCCCATCTCGTTGGTTCTAGAACGTATACGGTACACAAGAAAACAACATTTCTTGTGTTTCAACATGCCTGAGGTATGATTATTTGGATCTCAAAGGATCCCTAAATTCGCCACTAATAGTAACACCAGATTCAGATTATTAACAATGCACATGTAGTGTACTCGTGATGATGTTTATTATAATAATTATAATAGTTCAGTTCTTGTATAGCGCAAAATACGTTATGAGATAACATCTCTATGCGCTTCCAAAGAGCTTTGGACTTTATTACCCTAGCTTTAGCTTTTTTATGTGTATTGTGTCATATAATTTCAGTATAGGCCTGCACAATTCAATTCAATTTTATTTTATGTTTCCTTTAAGAACGTAATAAGTATTTACATGAATACATACAAAAATACATTAGAAGGACCCCTAAGAAAGCGAAGCTTATAATAGGAGGGTCCTGTGCAAAGATATAACTGTTATATTTATCATGTTAATCAGCATATGATAAAACATAAATAAATAATTAATAACACAACGACCCGCCAACAAACTTAAAACAAAATGGTTCACAATTTACATGCATTTACATCAATTGTTGTTCATCTCAATAAGACGTGTAACACAGCATTGCGATCTTAATCATATCAGTGTAATGCTCAAAATTTACGGCAAATCATACTTATAGTGTCTCAATTTCTTTCTGTAAACATTGTCATTTAGGTTTTTTTTCACAAAGCATTTCATTTTTTGTAGCTTATGCCATGAGCGTTTAATATGGTAAAAATGCCTTCTTCAAGACGTATGATAGACGTTCGAAAATGAGAGTGTACACATACCGGTGAAACCTCTTTACAAGGGACCACTAACTTCTTTATGAAAACACATTTTACACCAAATAAACAATGTTAATCGTGTTAGTAATACGATAAGAAACTCACCAAAGCCGCATTGCTCACAAATAATGTTAAATTTCACGTTTCCCGGGTAAATACATAGCCATATCCACTTTTTATCCTACGTCTTACAGATGCATTTATATTTCTTCCAAAGTATTCCTCTGTGTAATGTATGGCGTTGAACGTTGTGTGTGTAGTGGTGCTGCGTGAGCAACCGCATTCCGTGACGTCATAAGCGACATCGATGTGTATTGTTACGTAATGGCGCACAATAGCTGGGCGCCGCGTAACAAAAGACGCCAAATTTGAGAGACCTTATTATTGTGGATGTATCTAGGTAAATAGGGGAGAGTATAAGAATGGGATTATTCAAGCGGAAAGTATGCTCCCTTTTTCTGCCCCGGCAAGTAGGTGGGTAAATGACAAAACAAAATCCCGGGCTCAAATAATTACTTCAAATAATTAATTGAATCATGAAATCGACTAGTGATTAAGAGTCCCTCAAACTATTTTATATCACATAGGAACTTTTTCTCTTTTAAATGAATAAATCTGCATGATGTTTTGATATGAGACGTGAAAAGTTTAACAATTGAAATATGCCCATCCTTTTCACTTATTTCCCATATCGTTTCTAGACAATTTTTTAAACATCCTTTTTCCTTGCTTTCTTTCACTACTAGAAAATAATAATGATAATAATAATAATAATAATAATAATAATGATTCTACATTTATATTCCACACAACTCTGCAGACATAATTAGAAGGCACCCTTGGTGCACAGATCAACAAATCAATCACATTACAAGAATATGGTCGTTCATCAAAATTAATTACAAAATGAAAAGGCGCTATTGATAGGCCCTATTTCATTATTGCCTCAGTGGCGGTTCTACAATGAGAGGCTTTGGACACATTCAACAACAAATCCCCCCCCCCCCATCAATCATTCGAATTGTAACTCGGCATAAAATTATGTATTACATGCTTGTTAACCGCAGCTGTTTGCTTTCAACAATATCAGATCGTGGACCAAATCAGAATGGTATAGGTGTCAACGGGCTGGTGATGAAAAAAAAATCAATTCCGCCAATGAATTCTAAAAAAGATTATTTGCAGCCTTCTATTGTAAGAATGAATAGCTCTAATGTATGGCAAGGTATATACGTTTTCTGTATATAATAGCGCTGCTCATTTTGCATGTATTGTATGTTGAATGTCGCTTTCACATCATCATGCGTCAGAGACCGTGCCAGTTTCAGACGCAACCCTAAGTCAATAAATAATGTCTAATGTACGTGCACTGTGTAAAAGGTCAGATACGACTTACAGCCGATAAGTAAATACAAAGTCAAAACAAAATTAACAACATAAAATGTAAAGTGATTTAAAAATTGTCTATCGGTCTGAATTAAGATTTTATCTTTATTTGTTAGTTGGTGCTCCACTTCTAGAGTAACAAATTTCCAGCTACATCGAATATTGATCACAAGTAATTGTGTTTCACTATGTCAAGTAGATGGCTTACAAAATCTATATAATTCAGGATAGTATTTATTAGTAATAATACAGGTACATATTATATGGAGTCGTAAAACATATAGGTATAATAATTCCAGATATACGGGGGCACAAAATATTGCTTAACGCATTAAAAAATTCTAGGCTGTCGAAAACGTTTATTTACTGTCGAGATTTATAAGGACAGTACACACGATTAGTTATATGATAATAGACAATTCACATCGATTAATTCGATTGTGCTTTGTTTACGATTGATGAGGTGTTACATTACTAATTGGTATAAAGCAAACAAATTCCATTGGGAAAAGCAAATTAGATTTGTTGACATAATTTCCATAATCTATTTAAATACTTGACAACTAGAGCTGGACTGTCATTATGAAGAAAATAATGACAAATTAAACTGAAACCTTATCAATAAACATATTTTGAATCCTAGTAGGAGAATTTTTTTAAGCGATTGGAATAAACCACTGTTTAAACATTTTTTCGTTGTACTTCGTTTGTGCATCCGTTTAGCAATCGCACTTAATATCAATGGCATTATAGTACTCAACTAAACATGGGGTCTCCAGGTTTCTGCTCAATAATTCACTTTATGGGGCCAAAGCTGTCATATCATGCCATAAATATTTGGGGTGAGTTTGCCCCTCATGTGAAAATAACAATTTGCGAATTTTATCATTTATTTAAACTCGTTTTCAAGAGGCATGTGTCTCTGATTTTACCCCAAGACCTCGTATGCACAATAGCTAGGGACTATCAACGCGACTCAATTATTTCAACTTGTCGACGAAATGATGCAATACCTTTTTATTTCGAGATATTCTGAATAGGATGATCAAGCAATAGAATTTATAACCAATTGGAAATAAATGTGGTAATATCAATAGTTTAATATTTCAAATTAAGCAAGTTAACATGCATCTCGCTGCCTTCTCTCTCTAGTATATTTAATGTAAAGATCGATGTCATACCCATGTGAAAAATAAAGGAAATAATCGCATTTGGATCTGATTCGGAATTCGAATAAACACCTTTGGGGCCGTTGGTAGGCGAAATAAATTATTTTAAAAAATCAAGAAAAGGGAGATAAGATCTTACTTACCATAAAAAAAACGTGTATTATATCCACACAGATGATATGAGTATTATTGTACTATTCCGATGTATAGGCTTATGGACGACCATGCAATGAGCATCTGGAGTACCAAAGTTGTATCACAGGCCTATATCCACCGCGTGCATATATACTGATGAATGAAAATGGTTCGAATACTTGGACAACAATTGTAACCGGGAGGCCATATGATGCACGCACATCTGCTATACTAACTATACAACCCACCAGCGCTGGCATCATCATATCACATTTGTCAAATGATATCATACTCAATTATAACTCGATGGATGTAGCGGTGGGAGGGGGAGGAGATGCCTTATATAAGAGTACATGTGAAGTTTGTTGTCGAGATGAAGAGCTTTGGTATACCCCTGGTAGTGGTGATGATGATTATGATGATGATAATTTCAACGTGGTATCTATTGTTTTATTACAACTAATGTTTGTTTTTTTAAGGGAGGGAGGGGGATGTAGTAATTTATATCTCTTCAGTATTTCGACACATCCCTGCTTGTATATGAGAACCATTCGTGTATGTCTCATCTTTCACACTAAATGATGATACATTCATTACATCGGGAGAGAGGGAGAGGGTATGTGTGTGTGTGTGTGTATATTTGTGAGAGAAAGAGACAGAGAGAGAGAGGGGGGAGAGAGAGATAGAGGGGGAGAGGGAGAGGAGGGGGCAGGGGAGAAGGGACAAGACTGAGAAAGAGGGAATTGGACATTTCAAGAGGCAAAATATTTTGTCCGTTTATTATGCGAGACATATACAAATATCCTTCACCTCTTCCTCTAATCTCTCTCTCTCTCTCATAAATGTATTTTCATTTTCTTACCCCTTCACACGCTAAAATATCAATAACCAATTTTCTTTTTCTTTCGGTTTTGTTCTCCTTTCTCTTATCATGTCCCCGTCCGTTACTTATACATTTAGTTTTTATCGGCATTCCTCTTAAATTCTCTGTCTCACACAAACACGCACACTCCCGCAATACACATGAACACACCCACCCCTCTCAGTCACCTTTTTTTGTTTTCTTCTCAAGAACTCTCTCATACATTTACAGTACACACACACACGCACACACAAACATCTTTCTCTCTCACACACTCACACATGCACCCACAAAGTCTCCTCTCTCTCTCTCTCTCACACACACATCCTCACTCATTTTTCTCTGAATATCTGATTCAAACAGTACAGCGATTTACAGATGGACAATTCAGAAACCGGCCATTACAAAGCAAAAAATTATTTTGTTTTCGACCATCGCATACACGTATAAACAATTATTGATATGCTCACTTGACAGTAATAATCGAAAAATCACTATCCAATTCTTATCTACAAATGATATCATATAATTACAGAGACTACACAACAAAAATATTCCCTCTTTTCATAATGGAATACAGAAACGAACCAATGTTCTATACATGTACTTTACTTTTTGTGTGAAGAAGGCAGCTTTGGGATGTAATACAATCATGGTCAATGCAAGGTCAATACTGTAGATCATGAATAACACCAAAAAAAACATTTAAAAAAAAGGAAGAGAAAATAGTAAAAATATTATACATGAAACTAATCAAACTATACACTGTATACAGAAAACTCTAAAATCTGGAATGACAACGAAATGTAGTTAATAGTGGAATATACACAACCCACTTTCGGTCATTTCAATATCAACTCTTAAAAGTAAAATGACAGACCAGTTTGTGATAACTTTTCTGTTCAATTGTGGTAATGATCTATCAAACCCTCCCTGGGAGTTTGTGCAAAATTATGGACCATCATTGGAATTTACAAGTAAGAGGCTATTTGAACATATAATATCATACATCTTCCTATTTATATGATTGATTCCAATGCACAAGATTACAATTATAACGGAAAGTTACAAAGTGACACCCAGCCTAAAACTACATTTATCTGAGTATGTCTCTCCATACATATACTTGCAATACACCTCCAAACTCCACCAAATACAATAACATCATACATGTCATTTTTTAAGTGTTTAAACAAATTAACCTGCCTGCAATTTCCATCAAATCAATGAATCATGCATATGAAGAGTGGGAATGACAAATCTATGAAATTAATAATCCAATAAAAATGCAAAACAATATTAATCATCCTCATAATGCTTTTACTTTACAAACAGCAACATAGACATGCTTTGCAATGCTGTTATTCTCTTTGCATCTGGACATGGCAGAGTTTGATATATACATCACAATGATACCTAAAACTCAGTATACAATACATGAATACACACAAATCAAATTATCTATGTAAATTTACAAATACTAATAGAATAGACTAATAAAATAACAGCAATGGATACACTTTTAATATCTTAATTTGTCCGTTTCTAACAGAAAAACTTATCATTAATTTCTAACAAATAAAATCAGCCAGGTATAATGAAAATACATGTGAGATAAAAATATATCTCACTTTACTACACCAATATTAGATTTCAGGCGAAGAATTTTGGATAAAATCGTACTTAATTTTATTTGTATGTACATGTACATGTATTTACTAGAAAAGCAGAAGCAAACACACAACAATACATGTACAAAGGAAACTTAATCCAGAAAAACCAAAATATCTGAGGATTGTTGGGGGACTGCCTTATTATACAAAATATATACAATACATACATGATCGTGAACAAAAGAGAGAAAAATACTTACAAAAGAAAATTGATTCTTTATTTTCTTCTGGCCTAAATGTGAAACTAAATGAACTCCAACGTGTTACTTCATTCATAATATGTCAAATGCCAGAAAACTCTCCAAAAATTAATGGCTATATTCCTGTCAACAACAATGAAATTTCATGACACTAATATTGTTCTACTTTGGTTGAAACTCATTAAATCATATTTGTATGGGTACTGAGAAATACTGTCATGCATATAGCAAGCAATTGACTCAGAGTTAATTTTCACCTCATGCTACTGAACTTGATGGGTATTTCAAGTAGTCACTGGAAGGGTTTGATAACTCTATCAATACAGAATTGAGTCATAAAAAAAAAGTAACTATTTGAAATGTTGAATCCAATTACATCATATTTCAAAATGGGTTTTAAAAACTAATACACTCCCTTAGATCAGAAAGATGATATACCAAAAGATGTGTGTTTAAAGCCCCACTGCACTACTTATAGCTACTTGCGCCCTCTATATAGCAAACAATGCCTAATCGGTGCCTGTTGGTCCCCCATGGTCCTCTTTTTCTTATGTTATTTGAGAGCTGATTTGATGAGATAACCACCTGTCAGTGACCTTGCAGGGTGGTCTAATCCTCCTAGCCAAACTAGTACAGTGGGGCTTTAAAACGTGTATTAAAGTGGTTTCAAGAAACATGAAATAAAGGTTGCTCTGCTGTGGTGACAATCGCTCCTTGGTCAATAATCTACATACATACTATCCAAATTCCAAATTTCAACCTTGGACGGAACACTATACCTATATTGTAATCATAACCTTAAACTTTACCTAGAACCCAATTGAAACCCCGGCTTCTAACCTTATTCATTTGAAGAAGAAGAAGAAAAAAAAAGCATAGAGACATTGTTGCCAGAACAAATGTCAGATCATAGAAGTAGATATTTTGCAGACCTTATGCAGAAGTACCATGTTCGCTTGTTCGGACAGCCTAAGAAGGTTACATGACAATTTTGTTCTGATTTTAGTTCTGTCTTTCTTTTGATTAATGAATATTCCAAACAAGAAACATATGTTGCTTGAAACCTACACAAAAAATTAAACATGCACTTACATGTATAAAAGGATCGAAAATAAAGCACTGCTTGAGAGGACCATTTAAAAAAATCCATGTACCATCATGATTAGAGTTCAAATAACATCATTACGGTTTTAAATCTCTGTTTAATTTTCACACTGGCTTTTACAACATTTTATGTCGGGATTTACCTTCAGCCCCATCTATTGATATTTTTGTAACTGGGTGGAATGTCAACGATTATCAAAAGAATTCCGCAATCAAATATCTCATGACTCCAAAACTTGGTAAGATAATAATATCAAGATTCTATTCTGTTTCTTTGTTAAGCAGGATATGTTTGGTTGAAGTGAGTATTTACCATGTTTGAATTTATAGAAGTATTAAATAAAAAGAAATGGAAGGATTCAGCAACTAAGTGTTTATTCAGAGTTATTTTGTTCTCGTGCTGCACTGCCTTGGAATGCAAATGTATTTGTGTACATATCACATGTACCGGTATACATATATGTCATCCGTCCAATACATGTCATCCGTCTAATACAAGTAATATTATCTATGAATCCCATCCTGGATTAGAAGTTTGAGATAAATTTTGCTTTTAATTAATTATCAGTTAAAAGCAGATTTGTTCCTACTATACCATACTTTCCTAATGCATGCTCTATATTCTTCTGCATCCATTTCAAATTATAACATTTTGACAGAAACTAACTAATGGGGTATAAGTAGCAGATGAAAAAGATACATTCTTTACAAATCCGGGTTCCTTTGGCAAATGATCATACGGTAATCATGCGATGCAATATCATGCAGCTGCATAGGAGCTAAAGTCCACAACTTCGGAGGATAAAGCCAGCATTTCCTCATAGGCAAAGTACATGCAAAAGGATACTTCATGCCGCACTGAATATCACTTGCAGAGTCATAGAGGCAAAGAAATACAACGCCCATTGTCTATTCAAACTGGGAGGGTACCATAGCTACACATGGCCCCGCCACACCCACAATCAATTTCTGTTACTTTGGGAGGTTTCTTGTCACTATTCAAGACTTTCTATGACTTTCCAGAGGAATTGATTTTTCTATGGCTTTCCAGTTTTTTTCTTCCCCATGACTTTGGGAACCTTGTATTAGGTTAATGTGCAGGCATATACATAGACTCTATTTGACACTTGAACCTAGCCTATGTCTCCCTCTAGTGGTGCCTTTTCAGGACTAGTTATAGTACAGAGCCTATGGACTGCAGACATACCAGTCTACATACCAGTCGTCTCACAGTTCAGACATTCTGTGAGGCGCTACGAGTGACAAGGGTTCCTGCCTGCAAACTAGTATTAGGTGGGAGCTAAATATCACATGCTTTAAATTATCTCTGACCAGGCCAGGGACCTGTTTCTCAAAGCCTTTTTACAATGACAAATGACACAAATCAGTGACAAATCTGTTGACAACCAATCAGAAGCAAGGATTTCAGTAGCTTATAACAAAAACTGTCATTTGTCACTGATGACAAGTTTTGTGAAACGCCCCCCAGGAGATTCATCTGCTTTCTAAACACCTTCCTCGATGATGGGGTGACTCTTTGGGAAACTCTTGCCATGCCTGTGGCAGGGTACTGCTTCCTGGTCCAAGAGCTTTACTATGTGTCAAGAGAGACTGTAGCAGGGTACAGTCTGTGGTCTTTGACAAGTACTGAATCAGACTGTACTTCAAGGAATAACTGTCACCACTGTCATTGCACATGTACATGTGCCTTCATAATGTCTTCGTACTCGAAGGGCCTCTGGCTGATCTGGACCTTGCTCCAGGGTTTCCATAAGCAGGTATGGGAAAACAACTTGAAAGGTTAACTCTGCTCCTGCATGCCTTCCTCTAGATATCCCATTACCGTCCTACACATACACATTATTAAAGCAGTTTTGTGAAAATGAGACATGTTGATATCCAAATTAATGTCAAATGTTTAATTATGCCGTTGTTCATACCAAAGCACCTATGTCCAGCTACTAGAAATACAATTTCTGACAGTTGCCTTTCCCTATTACCCAATAGGCAGTGATCACTCTATGTTTTGAGTTGTATCTTCTTTTTTGACGAAATCATCTCCGATAACGAGTCCTGGATGTTCTTCATCATGTATTTTTCTATGCAATAGGAGGTCAGCGGTTTGTGAGAAGCCTTCTTCGCAGATATCACAGTTATGAGGTTTCTGGCCGGTGTGGATCTCCATATGCTTCACCAGCTTGTACCGGTGTGAGAAGCCATCACCGCAGAACTCACAGACGCAGAGTTTCCTACCAGAATGGATGAGACGGTGGTTCTTCAGGTGGAGCTGATTCACACACACCTTGTCACATGTGGTGCATATCTGAGGATCCTCCACATGCTTGTCTTTGTGGTGCACCTCGAGTTCGCTTGTGGACAGAAAGCCTTTGCCACAAACCTGGCAGACACACTGACTGTGGCTGTTTTCCTGGTGCTCGATGAGTTTGTAGAGCGAATTGAAAGACTTCCCGCATGTATCGCACACGCGTATCTTCATTCCGGCATGTATCCTTTTGTGGTTGTACAGGTGCAGTTCATTCACACAGGATAGCTCGCAGATATCGCAGACATGCTTCATCGATTGCTCTCTCTGTCTCTCGTGGATCTTCTGGTGATCTGTCAGCATGCGCTTCAGAGGAAACGATTTCCAACAGTCTATACACGTGAACATTCCCGGAGCCCTCAGGTGGCACTTCTGATGTTCTATAAGGTTCTTTCTGCTGCTGAAATACCAACTGCAAATCAAACACTTTTCTTGTTTTTCTAATTTCTTTTTGCTGCTTACAGTGGGATCGGAATCCGTAGGACGTTCGGAATAAAACTGTTCGTGCTTTTCGTTTTCGAGTTGCTTTTCAAGATGCTTTTTGAGGTGATTTTTGAGATGTTTTTTGAGATACTTCTCTTTTGAGAAAGTCACTTTGCATTTCGGGCATTTGAGCCGTTTCTCATCATGTACCTTCAAGTGACGTCTGTATGTCTTCTTCTTGTGGAATATCGTATCGCAAATTTCACATAGGTATATGTGTTCTCTCTCATGGACTTTCACATGTTTACGTAATGTTGATTTCATGAAGTAAATATTGCCGCATATTCTACAAGGAAAACGTAGAGGAGAATTAGATGCTTCTTTAGTGGCACATGGCTGGTTTCGTTTGGGATGATTCGAGATTGGTTTGGAATAGTTTAAGATTGGTTTTGGGAATCTCTTCAAACACATCCTACACTGCACTGTTCCCTTCTCCACCTTGGAAGCACGTTCATCTGGTTTCACTTTGTCCATGAGACTAAATGCCTTGTTGCAGGTGTCACACATAGGGTTTTCCTCGGAGGAATAAGATTCCCCATCAGCGGCCAAGAGACTAGGACAGGAGAAATCTTTCAAGCAGTTACTGCAGCGGTTAACCTTGCAGTTATGTCCGACGCGGTCTTCTTGATCTGTAAAAGTGACGTTACATACTTTACAAAAGAGTTGTTGCTCATCCCCTGGTATCTCTTCCTGCTCTGTACTGTTTTCTTCAGGAGTAGAAGTCCTACCAAGGCCATCTTTGTGGTCATCAGATGTAGGAACTTCCTGCGACTGAGGTTTCTCAGAACAAAGCTGACATATAAAGGTAGCACTGTGGGTCCTTAGGTGGATAGCTAGATTTCGGGGAAGGCGGAACACTTTATTGCACATGGGACAAGGGATGGACTCTCTAATTGTCTTAGCGTGACTTGATAAGTGCTTCTGTAGATCTTTTCTCTTCATGAAGGTCTTTCTGCAGATGTGGCAAGGGAAGGTTGCATATTCGTTGTGTGAAAGCATGTGCGCATGAAGATACTGCTTTTCACTGAACCTTGCCGCACACACATCACATTTGAAGAAATCTCCTTCATCTCCAGTATGACTAGAGTGGATGTGGTCTTTTAGAATAATCTCGGTGGAGAATCTTTCTTCACAAATGCCGCATTCATATGGCAGTTCCTCAGCATGCTTTATCCTGAGATGGACAAAGTAGTTTGTTCTGTTGCCACAAGGTTTTTGACAAAGATCGCAAGTGAAGGAATTGGAAGATGTGTCCATTGTTTGCTGCAAATATTCTTCCCCATCCATAGTGTGAGGTAAATTGGTGTCCATCATATCTGTATATCTGAATTGTCCTTGATCCTGAGGCATCGTCATGAAGTGCTCTAGCCTTTCTGTGAAAGGGTCTTCTTCCCCGAAGGTGTTGGTATTATCTGGAAAGCAAAAAATGTTTAATTACTTTGCCAGTGACAGATTGCAAACTGCAGTTCTTTTCATATATTGAAAGAAAGATTTTTCAAGAATTTACATCTTCAATAATCCGCTAACTGGGAAATGAGCTACCATGCAGAGAGGCAAAGCAAAGAGGAGTGTTTCACAAAGACTAAGATCGACTTTAAGTTGGACTTAACTGTGGCAAGCCGTTCATGGCCACTGTTTCCTCTCACCATTATGATCTTTAGATAATATTTTTTCCTTCAATAATGAATTATCAAAAAATATTAATTCTGTAGATTCATGACCACAATTTTTACATCCCTTGTGAGACCAATGCCATTAAACAGTGAGAGGAAACAGTGGCATGAACGGCCTGCCATAGTTAAGTGTAACTTAAAGTCGATCTTAGTCTTTGTGAAACACTCCCCAGAAATGATAACTGTCATATTGATGAAGAATCAAAGCTCAAGGGGATTTGGATTAAAAAGTGTTTGGATTAAATGCAGAAAAACAAATAATCAGAGTAATTATATGGAAAGCAACAAGAGAGTTGCCACAATAGTTGTCTTATTACATGTCCTGGGAAACGTACATATATTGATAGTCATGAGATTATAGATGACATGGTCCTCCTCCTCATGTTTTTACCATGTAGTAGTACCGGTATCTTAAAGGTATAGACCAGTTTTGGAAACGCCCCCCCTCTAAAAAATTAAATGGAAGCTCTTATTATCAATCATGTGAAAGAATATGTTTTTACTAATAATCGATGATACAAATTTTGCCGGGAAACCGCCTACTAATTGATATATTTGGTAAATCATTATATCTTTCCGGACTGGAGAGATATAGGGTAGTCCCATTTACATCTTTCTGTGTATGGTGCTTGTAACTTTATCAAGACTGGGCCAAATTTCTTATCATTTTGATGATTCCAGAACCTTGCAGTACACACCAATATGCTAGATGATCAACCTTTTCTGATCGATTCCTCTACTTCCTTGACTTTTCCTGGACCAAAGAAAGGACCATAATATTATCCAGGTTTCCCATAATTTCCAGGATAGCTGGGGAGCTTACCCGAGGTCATGGGCAACCCTTGAAATGGACATTGAGCAACTAGAATATTTGGTTGCCAGACCCTAGCTGTCAAACATTAACAGATACAGAAAGAGGTGTGGAAGTCAAGCTGTTTAATAGCTTGACTGGAAATGCAAAGGTCATAGGTTCACACCCCAGCATGGCACTAGTGTCCTTTGGTAAGACATTTATCTACATTTGCAACTCTCCACCCAGGCGTTAAATTGGGTACCTGGTGTTATGCAAACCAAATGAAGTTGGAATGACATGTGTGCCCTTGTAAATTGGTGACTGGGCAGAATACTCCCCGGGGAGCGGAGTGTGTGCACTATCATGCACGGAATTAGCACTTGAATACAAAGACTAAGGTAATAATTATAATAACAATGCAGAGCGCTTAGAAACGTATTATTAAGTATTAAGCGCTATACAAATGCGACTATTGATTATTCTTATTAGTGCAAGATATTGTCAGGCAAACAAATATTCTTGGGACACGTAATGTTGTGCTTAGCCTTAGCACTTTCCCATCAAAATTGAACCGATGCTGAAAAAAATGTACCGGTATATAAAGTTGAAGATACAGGTTTATAGATACAGTGTTTGGTCCAGGGATGAAATTAGGATTTCTGCTAGAGTAGGAGACTGACCACGGAGCAATTGTCACTGGAGCATGTAACACAAAACCATGAAAACAAACCAACCTTTTCAAGGAAAAAAGTGCAAAACAATTGATATTAAGCATTTTTCTCTGCATAAATAGAGCATACAATGAATCTTAATTCCATCAAGTACGAAAAGGTTTATTATCATTACCATTACTATACTTTTATATCAAAATGTTTCATGATTACTTTAGAGATCCTATTAGATGAAATACAACTCTATATTAATAGAAAGCTGAATGAACGTAAATTATAAATCTAAAGGAATAAAAAACACTTTCTTTTTCAGTCTTGCACAAAAGTGAATTAAAACCTAATTTTCCACACCCCTCTTAATAATACTAGTCAACAGGGGTCAAATTTGCCTCAATTATGGTGACGACATAACATGTGGACCTGATCGGCTCGCCGATATAGCTGAGGCGATGAGCCATGCTTAATCAATGCAAAGTCAATGTGAATATGTGTACCCCATATAAGATGATGTCATTATTAGTACTTGAAAGCTAGCCTTCAGGTTGAAAATTCAGATTTTCAAAGCCTTAGATTTTGAATTTTCAGCAAGCTGTTTTTTAATACTCCTCTGACAGAAAATGAAGTAGCATATAAATGATATTGATGATTTACAGTATTGTAATCTATGGCTCATCCATTGATATATAATTAATCTATTTCACTTTTCACTTCCGACAGGATCTTCAATAACATATACAGTATAATACAGCCATCACATAAAATAAACACATCTGTATGTACCAATAATACCAATATTTAAAAAAAAACTTGAACAAAAATGAGACAAAACACATTATTTCAAAACCTTTTTATCTAGTTCTGACTGGTGCACATATACAAGAAACAGTACAGTTTTAGTAATAGTGCCCTGAAATATTCTCTATTTCTAATTCCCAAAATAATCGTACATCAACTTCCTCACGGTGAGCTGCCCAGAAATAAGTCCCATATGTCCAATTTCTGGCTACATGTGTAGATGTTTTATTTCCCACTTCCAATCTGGTTTGGGGCAGGTGCAAAAAAGTTATTAAATTCAAGCTACTTTTTAAAATGGAAGTTTGTTAGTCAGTAATTTGCATTGCTAAGCTAGAACCCTATCTATCCCCCCTCCCCCCCAGAGAAAATTCCAAATGTGCAAATATTCCCCATTTTTAAATTATTTTTAGTGCAACCCGTAGTAAAGTGCTTTTTTAGGTAAATAGTGATGTGTGCAAACCACCAAGTCCATTGTGACCAGGGCTCTACCCGTAAACTACTAAACTACATATATCTATTTCCCACAAGTTTAACACAGGCATTATCTGGCTTTCATAGGCAAGGGTTATGGGCTTTGGCATTCTTAGATGCTCATTTGTTGCAATCTGAGCTGTTTTTCAAACAATTGTATGACTAATATTTCAGAAATTATGTTGGGCCGGGGAGTATGAATTTAAGCCAGAAAAATGGTTTTCAAACCTATCATTTCAAAATTCAAACCGGCTGCTATAACATGCTAAAACCCCTTGTCTACCACCCTGTTTCTAGACTATACACTGAATATCTGATGCTCCTTCTTCCTGAAGGTGAGAGGATAGCAAATCTGCTAGTATTTAGCAAAGGAAGCCATTCTTCAATATGCCACTCCAATTTCTAATTATCTTTGAACCACTTCTGACTCATGGGGAACAAGAAACAGCTTTTATTTAGGAGCTGTAGTTGTGCGCGAGATGATGCCCCTACAGTACCCCTCGGCTAAAGAATTTCTGCCTGTATATAGAATGATGAATGGGCTTTCGAAGACATTTGTCAGTTTCGTGGGTGACATTATCTCATTGGAGATCCACAGAAAAACTCTCATCCTAATGAAGGAAAGCATCAGTCTGATTCTATTTCATACACTGTATCTCCTGTGGTAGCATCCACAACACATTGACTCTCCTCACCATGTTGTACCTGATCAGAGGTCTGATCATTCGATGGGGTTCCAGATGAAGGAGAGTCCATCACACTTGGCATATCCAATGAATAGGACTGCAGTCTTTCATCAAGGACAACATGGCAGCCAGCATTTTCATTTTTCACTTTTGCGTGAACAACCTGTGGATTGGTCATGTTACTGTCAATATCCAGAATGGACCACAGTTTCTTCTCGGGTGGCGGAACGATTCCATGAATCTTAAGGTGTTCCCCAAAAAGGGATCTATCAGTGAACAGCTTCTTACAGACAGGACAATGATTTTTTCTCTTGGAAATGTGGACACGTGTGTGATCTACAAGTTTTACTAAAGTACCAAAGTCTTTTGTACACCATGAACAACGATGTCTTTGTCCTCTGACGGGGGCGCGACGAAAGATGATTTGACTCTTTGTTATCTGATTGGTCTCGCTTTTCTTCTTTAAAGACTTTATTTGTCTTTGTTTTTCTATTTTGAAACCATGGAGTTGAAGATGTGTTTTGAAGTAATATTCATTGCATAACCACTTTTTACAGACTGGACAGCGGTTTTTCCCCTTGACTATGTGGATTTGCAGATGGACATTCAGTTCGTTCAGAGAGCTGAATTCCTGCACACACCATAAACAGCGATGTATTGGTTGATTCGCCGGTTCAGGGGATTCTGTCAAAGCCTGGGTGTCAGAAGTAAGATGCAGGCTCCTCTGACTGTGGGAAACGTGATCTATATGACTTTGATTGGTCTGTTGTTCCACTTCTTTCCTCTGACCCTGTGAGGCAGAGGCATCGCTGTTTGCATCCAGAGAGGACTGCCTTTCTTTGGCAAGATTCTGTTGTGCCTGACAAGATGTTGTAACAACTGTTACAGGAGATCCAGTAAAAACTGGAGTGCCATTTATCCAGTACAATGTTAAAACGGAATCATCATTTTTTCCAAGTCCCGCAGTTTGCTTTTTCATCCCTTTCTGGCCAACTTGTGAACCAGACATTTCATTGCCAGTAATCTGAACATTCTGTTTTTTTTCTAAAGAATGTTGTGATTCTTGATTTTGCTGTTGCCGTTCTACTGGCAAAACATGTGGAACATGTGATTTACTGCTGTTGGAACGCCCTCTCTCATCAGAACTTTGTTGTACTTCATCACATCTTCCATCACCATGTGGAGTTTCAGCTTTGGTTTGTTCTCTCATTGTCCATGTATCCTTTGCAAGGTGCGGCCTCTTACAAGAGATGTCATCATTCTGCCCCTTTGCGCGATGCACGTCCTCATCTTTCGAGTCAATTTGTGAAACAGGCAACTCACCGCTAGTATCCTTGAGGATCCATGCTTTAGCACTAGGTATGAATACACCGTGTCTTCTGAGATGTATTCTGAAGTTTGATTTCTGATCTGTTGCGAACCACTTGCCGCAGAATGGACAACGGTTTCGTCCCTTGACAATGTGGAGGCGTGTATGATGTCCCAGAGAGTCTATTGAATCAAAACTCTCATCACACCATTTACAGCGCTTTTGCATTACTTGAGGAGAGGTGGTCGCTGCTGAAATGTCATCCTGCCTTATTGTGGCAGATGTGATTATTCCATGAACTAGTTTAAGGTGCTTCTTAAAGTATGGGTAAGTAAACCAATTTTTACAGACTGGGCAACAGTTGTTACCCCATGCGAAGTGGACGTTTGTATGATCTACTAGTTCATTTGCATCCTGAAATTGCTTCTGACACCAGACACAGCACAGTTTCTCCTCTTCATCAGCAATATCCAATTCACATCGGTTATCAGATACAGGCTGTGGATCAACAGAGGAGGGCAACTTCTGCTGTACCTGATCAGACCTTCTGGACAATTTCTCCTTTTGATCAGCAATTTCCAAATCACATCGGTTTTCAGATACAGGCTGTGGATCAACGGAGGGGGGCAACTTCGATCTTTGGTCAGACAATGCAGGGCGTGCTTCTGAAGTGCTGGTAGCGATGTGAAGTTTCTTATGAGTGATGTACTCACTATGGTGAACAAAAGATTTGGAACAAACCTCACAACAGGGAGTATCCACCTGCTGTTGTAACTGTCCTTCTTTCAGACCACGAGGACAAAGACACTTGGTGTCAACATCTAGAGGGCCAAGGAACTCCTTGTCAACATCAAGAAGTTTGTCCTCATTAGGATGTGCAAGGGTCATATGCCACTGCAATGTCAGTTTTGATTTCAACCACTTTGGACAAAGAGGACAGTATATGCCTAACTTGAATTTAGGCAAGCAATGATGCTTGGACAGTGATTGTGCACTGCTGAATTCTATCTTGCACACATCACAAGTATGATTTTGTGACAGCTCCACCGTACCACCAGTGGACCTCTTCTTGGTTGTGGAGGATTCCAAGGAATCTCCTGAAGAGTGCAGACTACGCTCAATCTTGAGATCCAAAGACATCCCATCTCGTTGGGAATGACTTGATGCACTGCTAGGAAGGTTAATGAGCTGTCTCTTATGAGCAGAACGCAGAGATTTTAGATCCAAAGACATCTCATCTCGTTGGGAGTGACTTGATGCACTGCTAGGATGGTCAATGAGCTGTCTCTTATGAGCAGAACGCAGAGATTTTAGATCCAAAGACATCTCATCTCGATTGGAATGACTTGATGCACCGGTAGGATGGTCAATGAGCTGTCTCTTATGAGCAGAACGCGGAGATTTTAGATCCAAAGACATCTCATCTCGTTGGGAGTGACTTGATGCACTGCTAGGATGGTCAATGAGCTGTCTCTTATGAGCAGAACGCAGAGATTTTAGATCCAAAGACATCTCATCTCGTTGGGAGTGACTTGATGCACTGCTAGGATGGTCAATGAGCATTCTCTTATGAGCAGAACGCAGAGATTTAAGATCCAAAGACATCTCATCTCGTTGGGAGTGACTTGATGCACTGCTAGGATGGTCAATGAGCATTCTCTTATGAGCAGAACGCAGAGATTTTAGATCAGAGGATCCAATGCTGAGTGAGGTCTTGTATTTGGATGATTTACGAGACAGGTATGACTTTTTGATGGACGTGCTGCTCTTTCTTTGCTTGCCCATCTGAGAAATGAACATTGAGTTACTGCGAATATGCTCAATGGACACACTCTTATTCTCAAATGGTGGAATTATACCGTGACGTTTGAGGTGTTGTTTGAAGTTGGATTTATTGGACAGCCATTTCTTACAGACAGGACACTGATTTTTTCCATCTTTAATATGGATGCGTGTATGAGCCACCAATTCTTCTAGACCATCAAATTCCCTACCACACCATTGGCAGCAATGCTCCGGTAATCTGCAAGAGGTTTGAACCTGTGACGCAGCCATACTGACGGTATCAAGAATGGCCTGTACGTTCTCATCGGGGTGTGGTGGTCCTTGATCAGAATTACTGACACAAGGTGGTGTTCCAGAAGTGAGGGAATCTGCAAAGGTTTGTGTATGACTTGACAGTGGAGATCTCCCAAGGGACAAGACATCATCCTGGCCTTCCGAATTCTGCATGTTCAACACTCTTGCCTTGTCAACCTGAGGAAGAGGCAATCCAATGCTGGTACCGGGAACGGTAAATACCTTCTTCCTGTATGGTGTAGGGATACCATGGACACTAAGGTGGAGCTTGAAACCCCATACACCAGAGAACGACAAACAACAGACTGGACACCGATTCATTCCACTGTGAATGTGGTCATGTGTATGATTCACCAGTGTTTCTAGATCATGAAATCCTAAATGGCACCAGGCACAGCGATGTGTTGGTACTCTAGAAGAGTTTTCACCCTGTACTTCAGACTGGGTCAAGCCATCAACAACTGATTTCACTTCCTGTTTCAAACCTTGAGTGGCACGTGATCCTTTGACAGAACGCTTACAGGATTGCCCTTTATCATCACAAAAAGTTTTTATACCATGAGTCAAAAGATGAGCCCTGAATACTGATCGCTTTCTACGCCCAACCCACTTACCACATACCGGGCAACAGTTCCTCCCACGAGCAACGTGGAGGTATGTATGAGCTGCCAGTTTGTCAGAACTCTGAAACTTCTTATCACACCATAAACAGCGACGGTGCTGTTCTTTAGAGGGGCCTGCTTGCTGAATATTGTACTGCCTGTCTTTGTCAGATAGAATTATTCCGTGAACTCTAACGTGCTGCCTAAAGTATGTTGTATTGGTATACCACCTCTCACACACTGGACACTGGTTCCTTCCATATGCAAAGTGGATTCGGGTATGATCTATAAGTTTATTTCTGTCATCAAATTCTTTATGGCACCACTCACAGCGGCATGTTTGGCCAGGGGATTTCACTTGTGAGATATCCATCATTCTGTTTGCAGCCTGATTTTTATGTCTTGTCTTACAAGTTAAATTATGGGAAACGATGTGTTGCCTGAATTTCTTTCTACTTCCTACCTGCTTAGGGCAGATTGGGCAACGTTTGGTTGTGCTGTTGATACGGACGCATGCATGATCTACATGTAATAATGTTTGCATGGATTGAAATTCCTCTTTGCAGTATATGCAGTGATGTCTTGGCAACTGCTCAGGGGAACTTCCTACAGCAACTAGATTTTCAGATGAAGTCTGTGACTCACCAGGGAGGTGGATTTTCTGATGTAAAGCTTCTTGAGGTTGATTTTCGCCTCCCTTTGTATCCAGGTCACTCTTTATTTCTTGAACTGAAGGGCTTTTTTCTATTGCTTTCAGGGGCACGGGATAATGGGTCTCTAAATGCTCTCTAGTGTGTCTAGTATCTGGGAAGTACTTCTCACACAAATGGCAATAGCAATGTTTCCCTTTACAATGGACTTTTTGATGCACTATCAATTTGGGTCTGTTGTCGAATTCCATATTGCATGTATGACATGCATATGAGGTCTTGTCACCACAAAGCTCACATGTATTCTCTTCTTTACTACCATTTTCAATTTGCCCTACGCGTTTACGATTGTAACTTTCTAAATCTTCCTCGTCCAAGTACCTGGCCTTGCAAACCTGACATTCATATGGGAGCTCCTCACTGTGTTTAGTTCTGAGGTGCATTAAGTACATACGCCTGTTGCCACATGCTTTCTTACACAACCTACAAGTACCATACTCGAATGGTCCAGACTGGGAATCACTTAGAATGCCTGGTTCTTTAGCATGGGGCAACTCTTGGCAGGGATCCATTTCATTCTGGAAGTCAAACGTTTCATCCTCTATAAGATCTTGGTAATTTTCTTTTGTAATTTGAACCCTGACAACCCGGGTAATGTGCGACTTAAGGTCACCTGCCACATTCTCCTCCAAGAGCCCTTTTTTCCTTCCATCTATAACCACAGAGTACGAATCGTTAACAGCGTTGTGCAAAACCTTTTGGTGCGCATCAAGGTCACTTTGAATATCGAATACCTCACTACATATCCCACACACGATAACCTCTTTCTGTTCTTGTTTCATTCCATCCGAGCCAATCTTTGAGAGAGAAGACTTACTGTCAAACAAGGCTCCTCTGGAAGATTGCCCTCCCTCCTCTCGTTCGCTGGCTCTCCGCAAGGATTCCAACATCTTGTAGCTCTCTGCAAATTGGTCGGGATCCTCTTCGTAAGAAAGGCCTGGACCTGCAGAGGTAATGGCGAGAACAAATGACATACTCCATGAGTAAGAATTGTTGAGCTTGCTATGAAATGTCATAGACATAAAGCCTGTTCATAGCTTTAAGGTAAAGGGCATTACCTATGTGTTTATAAGTATATGAATTACTGCCAGGAGCGTCACAACGTGACGGACATGTGCGCTATATAAGAAGCCACCATTATTATTATTATTATTATTAAAACAGATGATATGCACCTGCTGTGCATCACATTAATACGTTAAATCGCTGGAGAGAACTGAAATCAAAATATATGTGTGATAGTGTCCATAATAAATGACAGTCACTGCTTTAAATCAATCATTTAATTAGGATCTTTGAGTGAGTTGTATAATACGGATTGTGCCGTTTCTTTCGTTGAGTACATGGTATCAAAGCAGATGGGTTAATATAAAGGGGGTTTAACATACCCTCATCATCACTCAGTGGCTCATCTTTGATGACTACTGGAGTCATATCTGCAGTGAAGGACGCAGATGTAGGCTCGCTGGTGGATGGATGCTCTCTCTCCTCATCTCTGATACCGCGGTTATCCATCCATTCTTGATCTCCATCTACACAAACAAGAATTTAATGATGATTGAGTGTGGTTCCTTCACCTTGTTTTAGGGTTATTATCTTGGTCATATTGACTAACATGTTCATGTATATCATTATTATTATTATTAATATGATTATTATTATTATTATCATTATTAAAATTAGTGGTAGAAGTAGTAGTAGTAGAAGTAGTAGTAGTAGTAGTAGTAGTAGCAGCAGCAGCAGCAGCAGCAGCAGCAGTAGTAGTAGTAGTAGTAGTAGAAGTAGTACAGTAGTAGTTATATTAGAAGTAGTGCAGTAGTAGTAGTAAAAATAGAAGCAGTAGTAGCAGTAGTAGTAGAAGTAGAAGTAGTAGTAGTAGTAGTAGTAGTAGTAGTAGAAGTAGTTGTAACAGTAGTAGTGTCAATCTTCTTCTTATTATTATTACAATCATCATCATCATCATAATCATCACCATTATTCATTATCATTCATCATCATCACCATTACCATCATCATCAACTCATCCTCATTAACATCACCATCACCATCATCACCATCACCATCATCATCATCGCCATCATCATCATCATCATCACCATCATCAACTCATCCTCATCACCATCACCATCACCATCATCACCATCACCATCATCATCATCACCATCATCATCATCATCATCATCACCATCATCATCATCACCATCACCATCATCATCACCATCACCATCATCATCATCATCATCACCATCATCATCATAATCATCATCATCATCATTACCATCATCACCATCATCATCATCATCATCATCATCATTTATCATCATTCATCACCATCATCATCATCATCACCATCATCACCATCATCACCATCACCATCACACCATCACAATCCTCATCACCATCATCATCATCATCACCATCATCATCATCATCACTATCATCATCATCATCATCATCATCATCATCACTATCATCATCATCATCATCATCATCATCACTATCATCATCATCATCATCATCATCACTATCATCATCATCATCATCATCACGATCATCATCATCTTCATCTTCCTCATCATCATCATTCATGCATCATCATCACTTTACTACATACTACAATTATGAAAGCGGCTTTACCTTCTTCTCCAGTCCTCTCTCCGCTGTCTGGCGACTCTTCGTCGCTTTCTTCCCTGCTCTCCTCTCCACTCTCCTCACTGTCCTCCTCTTCTTCATAGGGCTTGGCCCCATCTCTCCCTTGGTTTATACCTGAGATAATGATATAATAAATAATAATTGTTCTATTTACACAGGTAAGCCTCATCAGCTTCACTACTGTTCTTTTTGAGGGGCCCTGCAATTATTATTACGAAAGCAATTACCAGGCACCCATTTTTTACCTGGGTGGAGAGTGGCAAATATAGATTAATGCCTTGCTAAAAGACGTTTGGGCCGGGCTGGGATTTGAATCTGCAACCCTTAGATTGAGAGTCAAGTGAATGAAACATTGTAACCATGACGCCTCCATAACACAAACAGAATCAAACTCTGAAATCAAATATAGCAATGGGATGAGTGAAGCACTTGTGAAAATTAGAGAGAAAGAGAGAGAAAGAGAGAGAAAGAGGGAGAGAGAGAGAAAGAGAGAGCTAGAAAGAAATTGATAGAACCACTACCACTTTGAATCATATTCTCAAAAATAATCTAACCTTAGGTCACAATTAAATCCTGCCAAAGTGCAAGGATTTAGTCCATTGATAAATTGAGTACAACATTTCAAGCTTTTCACTCTTACTAGAATAATAGGTAACCAAGGGAATTATGAAAGCTTGTCACCATAAAATTACTTTCTCAATTTCTTTTCATGATCAAATCATTTTTGATTTCATTTTTTAAGTCAAATACAATATTTCATATGGAAATTAGAGTAGGCACTTGCCTTTCACTATATTGAGGAGCTATGGTACATGTATAATTTGTTATTGTTTCAAAAAATGGGCCACGATTAATCAGGGGCAGTTTGATTAGCCTTATGCATTGCTCAATGAGATGTGCAAACATTGCAACTAACGCGCATCTGCTGCTCGGAGCCAGGAGGGTTTTAAAGCCCCACTGCACTACTTATAGCTACTTGCGCCCTCTATGCTCAGTCAATGCCTAATCGGTGCCTGTTGGTCCTCCGTGGCCCCCTCTTTCTTATGTTAATTGAGAGCTGATTTCATGGGATAAACACATGTCAGTGACCATGCAGGGAGGTCTAATCCCTCCTTGCCAAATTAGTGCAGATAGGCCTTAACTCTGTATTATTTGAGTTAATGCCCTTCTAGCTCCAAACAGATGGTATTACGTGACCTGAATATGATTTGCAGGGATGTGCCTTTTTGTCATCCCTCATAGCTATACCCAAATACACAGTGGAATTAACTACATGGGACACATCAATAACACAATAATGAGGAGGTGTCAGGGCATCTCCTGAAGTACAATCTTCAAATATCAACTTTATGACACATATGAACGGAAATTACATTCTAATAGGGTGGATTAGTAGTTAACATCGCCCTCACTGGCAAGCCGCAGCCAATTTTTCAGCTCGCGGTCAACATCTTACAACCAGTGCAGAACAAAATGCTAGCAAACGATCAAAATGACCAAAGCAGGGCCAACCAAAAATTCATTCAATGAGATTGATTGATTTCTGTTATCAGGGCACATTTCTATGTTGAATTTGGATGTCAAAACCCACCAATCAATTGATTTTGACTGAAAACTTGGCCTGATTTTGGACAGAAATCAATACAAATGGTCAGTTTTAGCCAAAAAGTGAAAGAATTGAGCAAATGGTTGTTGATTCGGTTCAATTTGACTACTATTTTCCAGCATCAGGGCAAATGGGCCCGTCAAATCTCCTTTGCTAATAATAAAGACTGGAAAAATTCACCCAAGACCAAAAGTGACCATATTGGTCAGTTTGGCCAAAAATGTTGAATAGGCCAGGTCAACAAAACTTTTTGTGCAATTTTTTTTACCCCGGTTAAGCTTTTCAAATCTTCCCCATAAAAAATTCCTATTACATCCCCTTATCTAGCTAGGCCAGGGTATATTTAACAAAGGCGAGCCACAGCTGAAACAATGTCTACTTTTTCCCATGATGCATCACGTGAAATCAACTACAAACTGGTGTCGCTAGATGGCCTTGTGAATAGGGTGGATACACAATTAACAGCACCCGGCAAGCAGCGGCCAATTTTTCAGCTCGCGGGTCAACATGCAGCACAGCATATAACGCTAGCCACCGATCTAAATGACAAAAACGGTCTAGATTGTGTAAATTCATTCAAGGATATTTATTGTTCCGATATCAACCATAACATTGTGAGCAAATAAAACTGTTTTTTTTGGAATCAGTGCAAAATTTTAGCCTGGAAAAGCTATTCAAACCTTCCCCAACAAAAGTTTTTTTTTTATTAAATGCCCTTATCTCCTTCGATATATAACAATGCCACAGCTGATATTTTTTGTCTACTTATTCCCATAATGCATCACGTGAAATCAAGTAAACACTGGTGTTGCTAGATGGCGCCATAAATTGTGAATCCACCCTGCTTTGAATCCATTGTATTCACGATCCAAGGCTAGTCAATACATATAAATAGTATGCGGATATAAGTACAGACAAATTTGAGTTAAATTTTGTGTAGGCTTTCAAGTGATATGAATTTGCCCTCTTCCACTCATCTCAGACAGTGTTTCTAGAGTGATTCTATGTCTATTGATTTACAAAATACAAATTATAATTTTCTTTTGCAACTGGTCCCCTCCGTACAGTGTTGAGATGACCAGTGACATGATATATTTTGATGGACACGCAATCGAAATTCCAAACAAAAATGACAAATATTTGAATACTTTCAACTTGTATTTATTCACCTTTTTTTCTTCAGCACATTTATAATTCATTATTTATAAAAAAAGAAATAAGAATATAATTAATCATTTAATGACATGAGCACATGAAAATTGCTCAAAAGCTGATGAACAATCTTTTTGTTTGAATTTTTCTTCACTAGCACCTAATCCTAGCACCTATATACAAATAGTTACCACAATAACAAAATACATAAAATGAAAATGACATGAGCACAAACATTTTTAGAGAAGGTTAAGATCTGCATGGGGAGAAGTGAAAAATAATTTTTGAGCATTTTCATTGTTATTTTGGAAGTGTGGAAGAACATCAGAGAAAAAATGTTTCCTGAAAAGCATGGCTCTTCAAATGCCTTTATATTTTAAATATGCCAAGTAACACAGCTTAATAATGAGGCCCAATTGTTTTTTGTAGTCCCATATACATCTTTCTGTGTACAGTGCCTGTTACTTTACCAAGACTGGGCAAAATTTCTTATCATTGTGATGACTCAAGAACCTTGTAGTACACACCACTACTTATATTTATACATGATCAACTGATGGATTCCACACCGTTTCTTTCACAATACAATCGTATGACCAGGGCCCCATCTTACAAAGAGTTGGTATCAATCGCAACTATGTACATAAGAGATAGAAGACTGCAAACTTGCAATTGATTGGAGGACTTGCGATTGATTTGGATCAATCGCAACTCTTTTTAAGACGGGGCCCATGACTCAACTTCATCTTTAAACAAAACATATAAATAAATATATAAAGCAATCAACTCTTTATAAGACGGGGCCCTGGAGTACATACAGTAGTTTATTTTTATATGTTCGTGTAACAAATCTGGGCTTGGACTTTTAAGATGAGGATGGAAATGAAAGATAAAATCTTTAAAAAAAGTTTGGCGTTTGACCTTTCATGGCTTTAGGCCTCGAAGACAACAAAAAATTTGAAGTCCTTTTGAATGGAAATCACAATGTTGATGTTCCTGTTACATATGTCTACCATCATGTATGAGGCTTACATTTCATTTTTTTCACTTCAACCATTACAAAATATACATGTATAATGTAATTATTTACAAATATAAAGTTACTGTAAGTACACTATCACTGTGGCCTTCATAAGGGCTTCATACACTTTCAACAAATTAAGAGTTCCTATTTTGATTTTTTGATTTATTGTATGTTTGCATCATTGATACAACTCATTAAGCATAATTCCCTTTCCTCTTACGGTATATTGACAGTCAAAAGAATATCTACATGTATACAAACAATCTTATGATTCTTTTCTAGGAGTGTTTTTTTTATACATATTTTTTTTTTAAAGAATAAGGTGCACACAAAAATGCTAGATTCTCAATTTCTCATCTACATGCACAATTAGTTCTGCACAATTTGGCACAATTTGACAAGATTCAAGAGAAGGTTGAGTTCTGGGAAGAGGTAAAAAATAATTTGTGAGCATTATCATTCTTATTATGCAAGTGTGGAAGAACATCAGAAAAGACATGTTCCCTGAAAAGCATGGCACTTCAAATGCCTTCATATTCTAAATGTGTCATGTTACATCGTAACACTCGGAAGTAGGATTTTTACGGCACGTGTTCGTGTAGTCCCATATACATCTTTCTGTGTACAGTGTTTGTAACTTTACCAAGACTTAGCCAAATTTCTTATCATTTTGATGATTCCAGAAGTGCAATACACACAAATTTTTATATTCTAGATGACCAACCTTTTCTGGTCGATTCCACACCATTTCTTTCACAATGCAATCGCATGACCAGAACTCAACTTCATCTTGAAGCACCAGAGAATACAATAGGAACAGAAGGTTTTACATCTTTCCAGAATAACATCACATTCAGATTCAGATTCAGATAATTTTATGGGTCCATTTGGGAAATCATTTTGTCGGCATTACATAAAGCACATGAACAATATGTAATAGAAAAAAAATACACAGTAGCAAATTTATAATGACGTAGACATATGGAAACACACGTTTGTGTCATTGCATGTTTAATAGTCTTTATAATTCCTGCAACCTTCTTGTTGCAGGACTCCATGAGATGTCTTATCTTCAGAGTATGGAGTGAGACAGAGGAGTGTTTCAGTCCAGCTTGGGGCTCAAGGTGTCTTCAGGAGCAATGAGAGCAGTATCACCCTCTGCAGTCTCCGCAGCTACGATGCCTGGGTGATATCACCTACTGCCATTTTGTCAATATTCACAGAATAAAACTGAAGCCAGGCAAACATACTTTTCCCATGTCCGTGCATCACTTCTCTAGGGAGATGCGAGTTGGTAATAGCAGTTTTTCAGCTCTCTGTCTTCCCTACAAACTGACTCGGATGGACCCAAGTTTGTAACTGAGTCATGTCTTTCAGATGGTAATGTTAAAATCGGTCCCCAGATGTAAATAACCATATCTGATTGATACACATCGGTAAAAAACGATTTACAAACACACTTCTAAATCTCTGAACAAAATATATATTTAAAAAATATTTTGCAGATTCTATTGAAAGTATGTTTTGCTCAGGATAAGCTGCCATCTATTGAGCCCAGGAAAGTTAGATGAATCTGCGGATGATGCAGGACCGTCGACAGTAGACCGATGGCGTTTAGCTCTCTCCTTCAGGTTGTTCATTATTATCTGCCGACTGTAAAGACAAAAGAATAAAAATAAGCATCCATGATACATTCGAGAACATGACCTACAAGAAACTTGTAACATGGATTAGCTGAACATTTAATATTTTCTAAATTATTTTCAACTAGTTTCTATTTTAATAAAATTCCCATGGTTTCCCATTTCTAGATTAATTTCTATTGTCATTATAAATTTGCAATTTTGTACACTTTTGTCTGTCATTGTATTTTATTTGGATATGTTTTTGTTCCTTCTGTTTGTAATTTGTATATGTTTTTTAAATATGTAAATTCAGTAACAATTCAACTGTAAATGTTGCAAGTATTGAATAAAATAAATCTTAAATCTAAATCTGAACATTACACCTCCTAGATCAGTGGTTCTTAATCCTTTTGGCTCCACAACCCTATTTGGCATTCCTTATCAGTGTTGTGAGCCCTCAAATGCAATTCTAGGTCAGTGTCGTAATGTCAGTATCCACTGGAAAGCTACTGCACATGTAATCTAGATGAGTTTCGCTTTATTTGTCAACAATGCAGTCAAGACTACTTCCTGATTTGTGTTGAATAGTTTGAGTATCATATATGGTAAAATAAGATCAACTTAAATGACCAACTGAACACAACTTCATTTTGACATGACAAAAAGTATCCATAGACCTCAGCCAAAGATATCTCGGGCTGCATTGCCATCAGACTGAAAACAACAAGACAACATACCCAGGATGTTGATGGCTTGCTTGGAAGACCACTGAAGATCTGGTCGTTCCTGCATTGATACTTGTGTATCAGCTGAGAACATTCAATCTGGAAGTCCCTCCAGACCGACCTATCAAAGCCCTCTATGACAGCCTTCAACCAATCACCATAGGCACTTCTCTCGTTGACTGCTTTAGGCTGCAGCATGGACATCAGAACCGTCTCTTGCATCTGAGGAGTTCCACAAGTGAGGAAAAACAAATTAAAAGTTTGCAGAACCTCTTAGAAACTAAAATTTTGTGCAGCATTGTCTCTATAGCAAAAGTCTGTGATCACTAATGTCCATTGATCAACAAGTATTCTGGGCAGTATTTTGCAAAACCACCACAAGTACAAGGTTGCCTACATCCTATTGAAAGGAGTGTTTTTTAGTTAACATCTCAATGGGATGTCAGAGAACTTGTACTTATGACGGTTTCATGAGGTGATGCCCACATTCTTTTGAACGTCTCATAGAAAATAGAACAAAACATGCAGAGATCTCAAATGTAATTTTGCAACCAATATTTGTTTGGTAGTGAACTCTATTGTCCAACTTTGGGCCATTTACCCCTTTTTACATGATAGCAAGTGTAACAACTAACCTTTTAGATTATATCAGTGAGAACCCAACACATATCAATGCTATGAAGAATCATAACAAGAATCTCAACAGCATACTGTGTAATCACAAATGTGGATTTGCCTACCTGTATAAACTGCTCGTATTTCCGGTTTACACTTGCAGTTTGAACCTCTGCTGATGTCTGGGCTGCCGGACCTCCTTCGGGTCCAGGTCCACCCTTGGAAATGCTCTCCAACGCTCTCCAACTAGGACCAGGACCAGGACTAAAAAAACTATCAGGAGGAGGAGGAGGAGGAGGAAGAAGCTCCATGTGGTCCTCAGGGGGTGGCTCTTTGTGGCCTCCAGGTCCATCATCATCCTCATTAACTGAATAAACTTTAAGAATAGAAAGGTCAGCAGGAGAAACTCGGCCAGGACAAACACTGGAGGCTACCTTCAACTTCCTAGGTACCTGGTCATGTAGTCTCGAGTTCTGGTAAAAGACGAAGAACAACAACAATTTACACCGAGTGTTAAAGGCCGTCTGTACTAGTTTGGCCAGGGGGGATTAGACCCCTGCAAGGTCACTTGGCAGGTTATTCCTCATTAAATCAGCTCTCAAATAACATAAGAAAAAGAGGATCATGGGGGACCTAGGGTCACCGATTAGGCATTGTTTGCTATATAGAGGCCGCAAGTAGCTATAAGTAGTGCAGTGAGGCTTTAAATCTAAAAAAAAAAATATTGAAATATCTGAATACCACCATGCAAGTAAAGCAATCTAGGCAGTTGGGCTGAAATATAAAACATTATTCCAATGGGAGGCTATTGTGTGTCAGTGCTGTTTTTCATTTCTTTGTCAACCAATCTATTGCAATCAGCAAAGTTATTGCAAAATGGCAATTTATAATTCTTTAAAGATTTTTTTATTGAATAGAGTCTTATTTATTTACACACAAAAATACATGTAGAAAAGTTTAGAAACCTGACATTGCAGCTAACATGAAATGCTATTAGAACAAAATGCAAATCAATATTTACTTACTCTGAAATTTGTTTTGAGTCTCACTTTCCCAATATGCTTGGCCAGAAAGCCGAACTTCATCATTATCCAATGGTCTCGCTCCGTCAAGTCAGACACCCCAAACTGAGATTTCTTTCTCGCAATTTTCACATATCTAGTACGGATAGACTTATACCACACTTGCAGGACTTTAGCTGAAAATATAAAAGAAACACTCATCAATATTTTTCTTCAGGTACATGGAATAATAATAAATCAATATAGTGCCGGGGGCTTAAGAAAAGAACTGTACATATCACTTCATAAACTAATCAAAACCTGTTTAATACAAGCACAAAGGAATAACATTCGAAGGCAGAAATAAAAAGTGTATTTTGATTACATAATCACCTTTCTTTCCCATTTCTTTGGCCTTGTCAGCCCACAGCTTGTCTTTCATAGGGAAGTCTCTGTAATCAATCCTTTTTTTGTTGTACAGGCAATCCGTCTCACGTATCCACCTCACCATGATTTCTTCCTCCTCATTCGTTAGGTCAGAGAAAATCTTGTGCCTCCTCTGCTGCTGGCTACCTCCGTTAGCACTGGCATCACGAGAAGTCACGTCATCATAGGTCATACATCCGTCTAGGTATTCTTCTTCAGATTCCCAACCCAAGGCCTGGTCCGGATCTAGTCCAGGAGGATTAGGGTTACTTGATTTGGCCCTGGCTTGGCTTCTTCCCCTCCTCAGGACAGATTTGGCCTTGGCTTTGCCCTTTCCCCTAGCGGCAGTGGGCTTGGAGTTGACTTCAGGTTGCTCTGTAGAGATTCGGAACGGACGGAACGACGGTTGCTCTATTTTGTCTCGGATTTATAACATCGCTTGTAACACATCGATACAAGAACATCGCAACATGCAGCTATAAGAATTCTTAAAATGATGCAATGTCAGTGAAGACGCATGTCAAACTCCTTTAAACCATCAGCACTCCTCGATAATTATGTACATGTACATACATTATTTCTTTTCTGGATATTTTGAATGTGCTTGTTTGTGTAAAACTTGATTATTATACATATTTATATCTATGTTGTTTGCCTGTTTCAATGTGGTTCTTAATGAACAAATTCAAAAAAAATGAAATAGGGATTTTCCCATATCAGTGGGGGTGCAGTATATGCATTGGAACATGGGTGTCGATCCTTACGTAATACCTATTCATCAGGGGGGATGAATGAATAGATCATCCCCCCCTGATGAATAGGTATCAGTTACAGATCGACACCCATGCATTGGAAGTTGAAAAAAGGACACATCAGTTGCCTACGATGATCGTTCCCGGATTATTACATTACATCCAGAGTTCTCCTTATATATTTTGAGTTACAAGTTATTGTTAGATACACATATGGTGAAAGGTAACACTTTGCACCGTTATCACACTTCTTTGGGCAAAACAAATAATCAGGAATCCAAAATTATATCTAATTTGTGTTTTTACAGAAAAGGCCACAGAAAGTTAGTTCTAATATATTTCTACAATCCAAAATTTAAAAAAATTCTGATATAAGGTAGCAAAAATTTGGATATATAAGGTAACCAAAAGGTGGTGGTAATTGATATAATCAAAATAAATTGACTTACCTGAGGAACCAGGCTCTTTACTTCTCATCTTGACATAAACTGGATTCATTTCTTCCTCATCTTCAACAGAGATACCAAAGTCCATTGGGTAGTAGGTGTCATCTAATAAATATGAAAATGTCATTGTTTATCTAAATATTAACAAACTAACAAAAACTAATGCCTCAGTCACACGTTTGCGTATTTGGCTTGCGTATTGCTGTGTATTTATGGCAAGCCGTTTAAACATTTATTCCTATTTCTTGATATCAAGAAATGATTGTCTGTTGTAAAGCAATGGTAATTCTTGATATCAAGAAATAGGAATAAACGTTAAAACGGCTTGCCATAAATACGCAGCAATACGCAAAGGCGTGACTGAGGCATAAGGGACTCATCAAGAAATTCCTAGACAAAGCTAAACTTTGGAACAAGTTGAAAGGGGGGGGAATCGAAAATTCAAAGAACCAGATTGGTAAATATTTTTTTAAAAATGAAGAAGATAAGAAAGGCCGAAATCGCGTAAATATATGTAATCATTATACACATGGGAATCTCAAATTGATTAAAAAAAAGTCATTTAACACCTGTAGAGAAACCTGTGCATAGAGACCGATAGCGTCTGACAGCAAATCTGATCTTTAGAGGCAGTGGTCTTCATGTACAAATTAACTGAATACAGATTCCTGTAAGACACAAATAACAAAGTCTCACTAGTGAAGGTGGTTGCTAAATCAGGTCTGGACCCCATCTTACAAAGAGTTACGATTGATCCAAATCAATCGCAAGTCCTCCAATCAATCGCAAGTTTGCAGTCTCCTATCTCCTATGTACATACATGTAGTTGCGATTGATATCAATCACAAATAAGTTGGGATTGATATCAACTCTTCGTAAGACGGGGCCCAGATTGTACAATGCTAATTGTTACCTTCTGGCAGGTCCACTTCTTGTTTTATTCTGACAAAATCTGATGATCCCTCAGAAACTGCAGTCACCAGGACTTCCTTGTCCATCTTCTTGACAACACCAGAGCTTTCTTCTTCCATCTTGTTTCACACCGCCATTTGAGAACAAGGTTAAGCTGTTTGATAATTAAAACAGAAAGGATAGAGAATATTCTGGGTTTGAAATAGCCCTTAAGTTAATACATCAATGATATTAAAGCGCTTTACAGATATCCTGGTCATCAGATTCAGGCTTGCCCGCACACAATGTATGCACATTCTTCACTGCCAGGGGAGCATTCCAGCTAGCCAGATGCTCACAATGCTGAGCAACATCGGGAACTCTCGTAAGAGGTCAGCGTTTTTGTAATGTAAATCTCAAATTTGCTCATTATCATCAGGAACATGTGGTATAAAGTAAATCGCTATCAGTATCACTCTGGTATCAAATTTGCACATTTTTTGTTGAATTCTTGACTGATTTCAAAATGCTTTTGAGAAGAAAGTCCACTAGCGAACTTACAACGTTCGTCGGGAGTGGCAAGGGATGATTATGAACGCATTTTAGGTTTTGTTTACATCACTCTTCACGCTGGGGTATCAGTGCCAATTAAAGTCCAAGTCCAGACCAAAAATAACTTACTTTAAAGGGACTTTGTTACATTGTTCAGATGAGAGATAGTGGTGCTAAGGTAGTGACTTCAATGCTAGATGTACAATTAAAGATAATCTGAAAATTTGAGTGAAAACGGACCATTATTCATGGTAAAAATTGGGAAAAACTGATCTGATCGATTCCTTAATTCTCCCAACTATATTATTCTACTTCTATTCTGCTACTTGTCAAAGCCTGTTCAGCATCTAGACAAGGACAATTTTATTACATTTTAGGTGAATGTAAATCTTCACAAAGCAATAAAATGGCTGTACATTCCATTCCAGACAGTTAAGTGTTGACAGATTTTTATAGCCTGTTTTATGTATTTCTTTCATGGAAAAACGGTTGGGAAAATTCAAAAAATGGTTGGGAGAATTTACTGTTAATCACTGTTAGAGGGTGTCTAACATCTACGCCTGCAAAGAAAACCATAGATATCTTCGTGGTTTGAGAAATTTTTCAGGATTTTTTGCATGTCAGAGGGTTAGTATAGTAGAAGGAATATAGTAAGTAACATTTTATTCAAAAATTAAGCAATTTTTTTCATCAACCTTCAACTATGTTACTGAGTCACTTTAAGTAGAAGCAGAAAAATCAGTCAAACCAATCAAAAAAAAGTTTGAGCAAAATCGGATAACTAATAAGAAAGTTATGAATTTTCAAAAGAAGTATGTAAAACTACATGGAAAAATGGAAATCACTACACAAATTGCCAATTTGGTTATCAGTTTGTGACGTTATGTCTTCACTATTTATCAATTGCTCTATATAGTTTAATCCCATTAAAAATAAAGGTGAGTTCTGGTAACACGATTGATTGTGAAAGAAAAGGTGTGGAATGTATCAGAAAAAGTTGATCATGTAGCATGTAAGTATTGGTGTGTACTGAAAGGTTCTGGCATCATCAAATTCATAACAAATTTGACACAGTCTTGGTAAAGTAACAAGCACACTACATAGAAAGATGTAAATAGGACAACACAAATGGTGCCGGGGCTAGTACTACTTATCTTTCTATGCTCATTACTCAGCCAGTATACATTTTCTTCCAAAGTTGTTTGGCACTTGACATTTATTTGTAATCTTGAACATTCAGTGTAAGTTTTGTTATATTCTGTAAGAATTGAATTTCTTTTTTTAACCAGAACTCAAGTTTATCTTTAATTTCCCTTTTTATCCCCTAAAACTTGATTTCCCCATGCCTTTGCCCAGGTTATATGATTTGTATTATATTACGTGCATGACATTTCACCAAAAATTTATGAACTTTGAAGAAGTGATACTATTTTATGAATATTGTATATTCAGAATTATTGATGTTTATATAAATAGTTTATCAAAATTCACATTTTTCATGATTTAACTGGAATAAAACAAATCTATATTAGTGCATCCGCGCAAAAAACGTATTACTGGGGTACTATCAATCTAACTTGGTGCTGGTGTTAAACCGTAGCCTACGGGAACAGGGTGGCTGCTGTATTAAACCCTATGGGAATAAAAGGGCCGAGTAGTTAATGGGTTAAGAAATAAGATTCTTAGGGAGAAAATAGGAAATTTATGTTAACAATATAAGAAAATAATTAGTGGATAGTGAGGGCATGATGTCACAGACTCATGAGTTGCCAATTTACCTTGTGATTTTCAAAGTTTTTCATCAATTTCATGTCATTAAAAATTCATAACTTTCTTATTAGTTATCCGATTTTGCTCAAACTTTTTTAGATTGGTTTGTCTGAGTTTTCTGCTCCTATTGAAATCAAGTTATTTTTGGAGTGGACTTGCCCTTTAAGGGTTAAGACCAGTTATGGTCATGCGATTGCATTGTGAAAGAAACGTTGTGGAATCGATCAGAAAAGAATGATTATCTAGCATCTAGCATCTGCAAGGTTCTGGAATCATTAAATGATAAGAAATTTGGCCCATTCTTCGTAAAGTTACAAGCACTATACACAGAGAGATGTATATGGGACTACCCTATATCTCTCACAGTCCATGAGAGAAACAAATTTACCAAATATATGAATTAGTAGGCGGTTTCCCGACAAATCATCATGTATTAGTCAAAACATATTCTTTCACATGATTGGTAATGAGAGCTTCCATTTCATTTTTTGAAATTGGGGCATTTCCAATACTGGTCTTTACCTTTAAGGCTAGGTGATATATCAATATCATATTAATACTTAAGGCTACAAAAAAAACTTGGTCTACATCGCTCACCCATGTCACGCATCAATCAAATCTAGACTTTTTTGGTTTGTGATACAAACTGAATTTTCTTAAGGACAAGTTGCAATTTTTGCCTCAAGAATTAAGCCCTCTCCAGCTTACGGTGTGACCAAGAAATGCACGCAATGAATAAAAAATGGGCTTTTCGCCAGGATTCACAATAGATTTCTGATTTCAATTTTCTAATCGTATTTTTTCCAAGATCGGTGAGTTGAATTGATTGAATTTTTCCTGCCATTTAGGTGTAATCAATCGTCATGAAAGTGCAGAGTTTTTGAGTGCATTCTGGTGAGTTTTGTTTAAAAATTTTGAAAATAAAGAGGTTTAGACTCTAGGTGTCTTGAATTGTTTTTACCAGACGAAGATCTTAAGTATACCAATGGCTTTGATGCTGCAGTGCTAAGCTAAGCTAAGTCCACGAGTGGTGTGGCACATAGAACTGTAGCTTACATTTAGCGCATATCCAGAGCTACCAAGTGTCGCGCATTTCGACAGTCTGGAAACGCTCTCACGCACAACGTGCGCTAGATTTCCAAAAAACGCTATACCTTATATATGTGTTACACCCTCGCCCGCGTATCAGGGGGCCGTTTCTCGAAACCAACTCCATGACAGTCATATCTTTGTCGGCGACCTACGGAGATGTCATGAAGCGGATAAACCGTTTCACAAAGCCATGACAGACATGATATCGATATCGCGATACTAGCAGCTCAAGAACATAGTCTTTGTCACGACCTATTTGATTTATCAAGAATAACCCAAAACAAGTTTTGGGGCTAAAATTGTTCAAAAAGAAATATATACATATAAATTCTCCTAAAATAAATAATAAGTAGTGTCATTATCATATTTACATCATCAAACGATTTGCATATTTCTGTAAAGATTCTTAAATTGAAGAAAAACCGGTGAGTGTTTTTTTTTTGACGGTCGAATCAAAAGTTAGTTGAAGGATACCGTAATGTGATAGTTTATCAATACGTACTTTTTTGTTTATTGTGACGAGGAATTTTAGGCAAATTGTCTTTTCTCAGCCAGTTTTTATTCTAGAGTCTCATAAATACTCGTTATATAATTGATTTGATATTGAAAATATAATTTGGAAGAAGTAAATAGAGAGGGAAAATAATGCACATAGGTCCCAAAGGTATGACGGTATCCTAAGAAAAGACTATGGATCGACTATGAAAAACGGTGTGTAACATTCTTACCTCTGTTATTTATATGTTATAGTTTAATGATTTGTGATTTAATGTATTAAGCTTTTTAAAGTTTCTGTATAATTTGTATTCTCACTTTTGTACATTTGCATTTCGCATCCCAGAGAATTACGTACCGAACTCGTCTATATTTTTCTCAAAATGATAGTGAAACTTATCGTCCATTTCGCGGCCCATGGAATGGCAACAAACTGACTTATCATGGCGCTTTACAGCAATTAAAAAGATATGACAGGTTCGGAGCAGTGACAACTCGCTTGTCGCGGAAGTTGTCGCTCATCTTGGCAAAGACGACTTCGTGAAACACTTAGCTGACAAGTTGCGTGACAGTGGCGAGATGTCGTTGATCTTGTAGTTATGACGGTTTCGAGAAACGGCCCCCTGGGCACCAAATCATGAAAATGTCAAGCGTTGCTGATCTTTGAACTTGGCGTCTCTGCATATCGTATTATCGTTCATCCCGTCTCAGCCTCACTTAAATTTGAAACAGCTCGAGCGGCTCCGCCAATCTCGTTGGCTGAGAGAAAGAGAGAGCGAGTGATAGATCGTGATGATCTCAGTGCACAGCGCTCAATGCGGAAAGTTCTACATGTCATGTGGCATAGATCTAACAGTTAGATCATGTTAAGCAAGCCAATTAAATTTTGAAGTTGTTAAGAAAGAAAAAGAAGAAAGATAATATGTCAAAAAGAGACAAACGTCTAGTAGTACATCCATATGTAGACTGTATAGTACCGGTAGACTAGTCTTTAAGTACAATATAAAAATGATTTGCGCCCTCTATGTCCATTCATTTGGCTCAAAAGTGTCTGTTTCCCAATAAATATATTTGGTCAAACAAGATCTAGACTAGACTAGACCTAGAGTCTATCTATAATCTACATTATTTATCAACAATACACATAATATACTAGCGTGTTTGATTAAGGATTAAATAGTAATTTGAAAGAGTTCCGTGAGTGGTTGGACGGTGACAATTTAACGTCATGAAGCGACCACCAACTTCGTCAGATTTGTAAAAAGAACTTAACACAAGACACAACATGTGGGGCCTAAGTAAAAACGGTTAAAAAATATAAACACTCGGTTGGAAATCGGTGTAATGTCAGTCTTCAAAATAAATGACATTTCTGTTTTCTGAAAAAAATAATCAGGTTAAAGAAATGAAGGAATTGGCTTGGCTTACCTCTAGAAGACCATGAAATGATCTTGGTGCGTGCAACTTGAGCGATAATGTCAATTTTCCTTGGCAATTTCTACCTGAAAAAATCAACCGATTATAGTTTTATCTTGCAAACAAACAAACAAAGACAAAATGAAATTTTGGAGAATCAGTTTTTAAAACTAATTTCGCAGAAACCCAAATTTGTTAATATTCAGATATTTTAAGTCATTGTCATGATCATTTGAAGAAAAAAAAATCAAATCATTTTGGTGAACCAAAGATGCGATGGCCTAGAGTAATTAATACAAATTGTGAAGCTGCATGATTATAAGCTAGCTAGATCGAGAAAATAAGCGAAGAAAATCATATCTAGTCATTTAGTATCAGCGAGGACAATTACCCCCTGGGCGATCATCCGCGGTAAATTGATTGATTGATTGATTTTATTCGCCAAGCCTCCATTATAAACATACAATAATATAAAAGAATGACAGATCAAAATTGAGTCAGCTGGCCACGAAAGCTCGATCTAGAGCTATTCTAGTGGGGCCGCGGCATATTTACAAACAAGAAGAAGAAAAACGTATCAAAGATGATGATGATATTAATAAAATTAACAGTCAGTAACAAGATCAAAGTTGGATCGAATATAATGACTCGACCTAGTATGATTATGCACCGTCGTGATCGATGCGATACGATTACGAGTTGTTATGATTTTTGGAGTTCTTGGACCAGCCGGAACGGTTGATGAATCTCACCATTTTGTTCTGTATAAACTTCTTTTGATCTGACTTATTTATGTTACTATACAATGCAGGGTTAGCATATAAACATTGAATAAGAGCTAAACAGATCAAGTTTCTTAACCTCATGAATTCTAATTGTTGAAATTCAAATGTGGAGTAGAATTTGTATTCATTTTTTATCATCATTTATTTTTCAGTTTGTTTTCATTTGCCCCTTTTCAAAATAAAATGGTGTTTAATTGTGGCTCAGGAATTTGTTAGGATTCCCTTTGATGTAATTTGATGTACAATATCGTAGTCAGGTTGTTGAGATTATCTTTTCATGAATCAAGTTTTACCAGTATTCGTGGTCATGAGTTTTCTGTTGTACTAGAAATTTAACAAGTGAAAAACAAAACAAAAAACAACAAGATTTTACGGCATTGAATCAAATATATTAATAATAATAATAATGATAATATCCCGCTTTTATATAGCGCCCAATACTTCGATACAACGATGTGTCTAAGCGCTTTACATGATTGATTGATTGATTGATTTTTATTCGACAAGCTTCCAACATACACAGATCAAAAATAAGTCAGCTTGAACAGGATAACCCACGAAAGCTCGAGAGCTTATTTCCAGTGGGGTCCCTTACAGACATGTATAAAATTAATAAGTTAAAATAGTAATATTTACAAACAGATAAGAAAATTAAAAGAACTACTTATTAAAGATAATAATAATAATAACAACATTAAACTGATGATAGAAATGATATTAAGTACAAGAAGAAAAAAAAGAAGGAGAAGAAGAAAAAGAGGAGAAGGAAGAAGAGGAAAATAATGATGAATTTGTAGAATTTCTATGACTTTGACAACACAATTCTTAGATTTAACTATCAGTGTAACATCTTTCTCCTAATTGTTATTATCAGAAGTTGTAATTTTCCTCATCTATAAGGCACTAGCATTTATATTCACATTAAAGCCCCACTGTCCTACTTGAGCTACGTACTTGCTCCCTCTATATAGAAAACTTCCCCAATCAGGTGCATGGTGCTCCCCATGATCCTCTTTTTCTTATGTTAGTTGAGAGCTGAGTTAATGAGATAGCCACCTGTCAGTGACCTCGCTGTGTGGTCTAATCCCTTCCGGGCCCATATTGACGGTCTTTAAAACGTATCAGTTTTATAGTTCGATAAAACTACGCAGAAATCAAATACTTCAAGTGTCCTGTTGTGTGATATCATATATTTTATGAGCAAGTGTGTCTTGTTTGTAATTCCAAAAAGATTCCCATCTGCTGTGAGAGGTATTTTTACCTGAAAAAACAAAATCCCAGAAATCAGAGCCCTTTATACACATTAAAACCCATAACGCCTAATTGTCAACTAAATAGGTACTACATGAAGAACCTATGTAGTAGTAGTAGTATTTATTTTCGTATAAAAAACATAGTAAAAATGCATAAAATACGATGGATAGCCCACATTCAGCTAACCCGACATGGGAAAGCTGGTCTTCCGTGGGGTCCGGAACAATTACATAAACAAAACAAAACATAAATACATTATATGAACAACAGTAAATACATTTTGAAGAAAGAACAAAAAGAAGTAATATAAGATAAAGGGATTTAAAAAAAAATTATAAAAAAAAACATTTCCTAAAAAACAAGTAATCATAACAAATAAGGAGGGGGACCATGTGCTACTGTAACAGTTCTGCAATCTTAGATTTGAATGTATTAACACTAGGGGAAGATTTGATATGAGGAGGAAGTGTGTTGTAGGCCTTTGCGTTTCTATACTTGAATGATCTTTTGAGGTAATTTGTTCTCGGTTTGGGTAATTTTATTTGAGCTCCAATTCGGGAAGGGTAGGAATGGGTTCTCAACTCAAATTCATTTCTTAAATACTCGGGGTTAGATTATTCATTATTTTATACATAAGAACAAGGGAATGATGATTTCTTCTTTTGTCCAAGAGTTGCCAATTAAGAGCGTTATGCATTTCCAAAACAGAGACATGAGATTCAGGTTTTATTTTAAGTATAATCCGGCCTGCCCTATTTTGCAATTTTTGAAGGCGATCTGTATATTTCCTGAACCTATGGTATATGTTTAACAACTGGCATAGTAAGGATTTACGAATATAGGCAATACAAATTATAGACTATCTCTCTCTCTCTCTCTCTCTCTCCCTATATTGCTCCCTCTCTCTCTCTCTCTCTGTCACTGTATCGTTGTCTCTATCTCTGTACGCTGATGACACGCAGGCGCGCCGGAAGCAGTTTGGGATTGGGGGGGCAAACGTTCTAGGGGGCTCACTTTTCAGGGTCTTATGCCTTCTCACCCCTAATAAAAACACACACGTATTCGGCCTTCCCATTCTTTCACAAATAATACACTGGCGCACATTTACATTCCATACAACACTGGTACATACACACACCCTTCAGAATATTTTCTGTTAAACACGTGTAATAAAAATAAAAAAACTGCAAGGTAAAGATGAACAGTTTGAACGCTTTATTAAATGATCATCATCATGATCATCATTCTTCAATGATCACCATGAATATGAAAAATATGAATAAAAGGCTTACAAATAAATAATAAAGCAATCAAGCTTCATACACCCGATCATACCTGTGTAATGCTCTTAGGATAGATCGTGCAACTAGAAGCCAATGTTATTCTTTGAGGGGGTCGATATATTATAATGTTATACTTACTGATCTAGAGTAAATTAAAAAGATGTTTAATCAAGCAGGAAAACAATACTGTTAAACTACATGTTTGTAGCGCATATTATTAGGTATCAGGCGCGTACGCAGGGGGGGGTTTGGGGGGTTAAACCCCCCCTTTGGAAATTTTTTGTGTGTAAACCCCCCTAAAAAAAACCTAAAACCCCCCCCCCCCCCCCCCCTTTTGGTTTTTTTTTTTTTTTTTTTTTTTTTTTTTTTTTTTAATTATTAAAAAAAAAAAAAAAAAAAAAAATATTCCCATGGCCGACCTAAAAAAGGTGACCTTACCCCCCCCCAACGGAGCAAAATGTCAAATTTCCAAATTTCGAGACCCCCCCAAAGTCCTCTTACCCCCCCCCCCCCCCCCCCCCCCCGCTTATTCAGCGGTCGGCTGAGTCGTTGCGATTTTTTTGGGACCAAAAAAAAAAAAAAATGTGTCCTCTTACCCCCCCCCCCCCCCCCCCCCCCCCCCCCCCCCCCCCCCCCCCGCTTATTCAGCGGCTGGCTGAGTCGTTGCGAAATTTTCGGACCGATTTATAAATGTTAAAACCCCCCCCTTGAAAAAATCCTGCGTACGCGCCTGTTAGGTATGCATATATATAAAGATGCGTCTTTTCTCTTCGTGTTAATTTCACTTTTCCTATATGTCTTGTTTTAAAAAGTACAACATGAAGAATCCCTGCATTTATGACAATAAAGATATGATGTCATAAAAAAGAGAGTAGATTCCATGAACGTTTAGACATGTTAAACGGGTAAGGGTGATATTTGCCTTACTTTATGATAGCGAATGCGTTCTTTCTCTTGCTGTCAACACGTGATATGAATTCATTCACGAGTTCTGTTATGTTCATTGATTCTACTTGTTCTCTGTACACGTTGAGAAGCAGGAGAGAATTCAATCGTGCCTGTGACATTGTAGATCTCAGGTAGGTTTTGACCCTTCGAAGTGTACTGGAAGAACGCTCTGCCGTTGCTGTTGTGGCGGGATGTACGAGATACAGCTTGCATAGTTTCACAACCTGCGGTATCATTTTCTGCATTCCCGACCTTGAGATGGCGCTGATGATCTTGTCCACTGACAGGTTCGATCCTGGTTCCCCGCTGGTTTCCTTCAGATTCTCGAGTATACTTGAAGCTGGGCTTCTAGCCGAGGTCCATCGAGATCGTCCCCAAAATGGTTGACAACACATTCCATTGACTCAAGTGGGACCTCATTACTTGACCATGCCGACATGAGTAGATCCTCCGTCGCAGTCAACACAGTAACAGCCTTCGATGACACCCTTTCCTGGAGCCCCGATACCACAAGATCCAAGGCTTCGAACCAAACGCTCCTGTACATTTCTTTGGGGGTCTCGAAGACGTGTGCGTCTGTCCTCTGGTATCGACGTGGAGCTCTTGATTGGCGAGGAAGGTCCGGCTCATCTTGGCTGTGTTGTTCGGCAAATGTTGCTGTTCGCTGCCAAACCTGATCGAAGAATTCTTCCCTTCTCATCTTGCTGAGTTGCACAATTGCTGACTGCGTTAGTCTTGTCCCTTGCCCAGCTGAAACTTGCGATCCTTGAAGCGCCGTGCTGAGTCTGTCACTCACCTCGAATATGGCAAGACTCATGAGAAGGCAAATTGTGAACTCGAAGGTCGAAATAACTCTCAAGAATCCATCCGCCCTTGACTGTATGTCCCTATTGCTTGCACAGTCCTCGATAGCGACTAGAGCATCCTTGACGGCTTGCAGTTGCTCTTTAAGACTGTTAAGCGACTTGTACTTTATGGTGAAGCGGGTCGGACATAGTGGTCTGATGTGGGTTTGTTTGCAGCCAAGTGCCTCTGCCACAGATTTTACTATTGCGACTCTTTTTGGTGAGTCGCGGAGGAAGTTGATCATATCTGTGACAGTGGTGAGGAAGTTCCTCAACTTTGGTACATGCTTGACCATGTCTTGGACAGCAAGATTGATGCAATGCATATAGCAGTGTGTAGACGTGATTCTTCCTTCTTCTTGCTGTAATCTCACTGCTACGCCATTCTGTTTGCCTTGAAAGGTAGCAGCTCCGTCGAAACTTGCTGCGCGACAGAGAGTGAGCGGCAGATTGTACCTAAGAAGGACATCTTTGATGGTTTTGAACACCGTCTCTGAATCACACTTATCCATGGCATGCAGTCCAATAACCCTTTCTTCCACCGCTAATTCTTCTGTTGCTGTACGAATGCAAATGCATAGTTGCTCCATCTTCGAAACATCAGACGTTTGGTCTGCCAATATTGCAAATGGCTTCCCGTTCATGTCAGCAGCAAGTTGACGCATCAGGGTTTTCGACATCAAGTCGATCATTTCCTCTTGAATTTCATGAGAGGTCCAAGAGGTCTTCCTGGCCAACCACTTATCTAGGCCCTCGACATCTTTGCATCGCAGGTTGAGAAGACCGACGAAGTTGCTATTCTGATCTGTGTGTCCTCTGGTCGGCAGCCCTTGTTTCGCCAGATATTTCAAAGTTGTGAAAATAGTGTGAAGGTACTGAGAATTTTGTTTTCTTTCTTCCTGTGCTTGGGTATTCAACTTGTCAGCGATGTTTTCACCCTGCCATAGTCTATTCATTTTGTAGACCATCAGTCGATGAACTTCACTCTTTTCATGCTTGAGAAATTTCTTGGTTGCGTTTTTCCAGTTTGTGAAACCACGTTTACTGAAGCTCTCCTCACATTTACCTCTACCTGTACTGGGGACGTGCTGAAGGTTTGCTTGTCGACAAATGTGGCAGAAAGCGGCACCATTTCCGTCATTTGCTTCACTGTCCCATTCAATCCAAGGATGTGTCTTGTACCATTCAATTCGAAATCTTCTCCCATTATCTTTCTTGAAATCGCATGTTGTGGGTTGATTTGGGTAAGAGCGCAGTTTATTTCCCTCAATTGGCGGATGTTGAGCTTCTGCCTTTTCTGGAGGAGTCTTTGGCCTGTCTTCTACCATTTCTGCGTCAGAATCCGAGGACTGATCAATCTGCATGGGCGAGTCTGGGGGCGAATGGGGAGGATGTAGTAGGGGCTCGGTATCTTCACCTGACAGGCTTTCCTCACGTTGAACAGATTCAGAAGATGTAGTCGGGTGAATTTCATGTAATGCTTGAGAGCTTTCATGAGTTTGTTCTGCAGATTGTCCTTCATGGGAAGTTGATGGTCCTTCATTTGATTTGATTTGTTCTTTCTTTTTCCCGAAGAGATTCAAGATTGACTGGTACCCTCTGGCACTTTCTTGTAGTCCTTTTTGTTTTTTAATTCTCCTAACTTCTGCACCCGAACGATTTCTCTTCATGATTGGGACCAGTTAAAATCTCATGCAAGCTGAGATGTTCTGCAAATAATGATAACAAAACGGCAACTAATATTACAAGGCTAATTATAGGATAAAGATTCAGCTGAACCAAAAATATATAAAATTATAAGTACCCTTATTTTATTCTAAAGCAAAAGCAGTCTCCAAAGAGTATATTGCCTACTTTTTAATTTCTAATATTCTTTCAGCCGAGGGCTTATACTTCTGAATCTCATTCAGTCGTGGTATATTGATATTGATATAAAAGGACACAGATTTGTTATTCTTCCTAGCCAGTGAATAAAAACGGGGAATTAACCCTCTCATGGTTAGAACTCCCACCTCTGCCCCGGGAGCCTTCTCTAAATGATTTCCATTAAAACTACCCATGTAGGTCTACGTTAAGTCGAGCTGACCGTCATATTTGAACTAATGTTGTCCTAATGTCCTTTACCAATGTATGAACAAAATTCTCCATCAATACACCTCTTATCGATAAATAAAATAAAAAAATGATTAAAGATTCATTGATTGGGACAACAGCGTAATATGTAGTGCTAACTAAAAGAGAAAGCTTACCTGAATAGACAAAATCTTGTAAACGACGTACATGATGCGAACAGAAGAATGAGTAAAAAATAGTTGGCCTACTTTTCCACGAAATGCGCGTATCGCTATTATTGTGACGTATCGCTATTATCGTGACGTATCGTGACGTATCGCTATTATCCATTCTTTGAATGGAATACAATGAATGGAATATAACTTCATGTCATTCAATTCAGGTTTTGTTATTTTTATTATCTTTTGGTTAAAAATACAAATAATATTTACTCTTTTACTGCTCATTTTTTTCGGGGGGGGGGCGTTTTGGGGGGGCAAAAAAGCGTTTTGCCCCCCCCCCCCACTTTTTTGACTGGGGGGGGGCAACTGCCCCCCCTGCCCCCCCCCCCCCACTTCCGGCGCCTATGATGACACGGCACTGTTTTGTAAAGGTAACAATTTAAAAAGCAGTCAGAAGAAACTACAAAAGAATTAGGCCTAAGATTTACTGCATAAATGGTTTGAAATAAATAATATGGAGATAAATGCAAAGAAAACTAAACTGATGGTCTTTGGAACGAAACATAAAACTAAGAAACAAATTTTGAAAATCTATCATGTACGAGACTATCTTGAGCATGTTACCGAGATCAAATAGGCGTAACCCTTGACCAAAGTCTAAGTTGGACACCACACATATTTAATGTGACTAATAAAATTAATCGGGTTATTGCATGCACTAGGAGGATTAAGAGTTACTTGAACCAACGCCTACTGAAACATTTTTGTCACTCCCTCATTTTTCCACATATAGATTACTGTTCAGTTGTTTGGGGCAAGTGCAAAAAGAAAGATTTACTCAAATTACAGAGGACGCAGAACAGATATGCAAGATTAGTCCTTAATGCAGACTATCTAACCCCAAAAGACACCCTATTATAAAGCAGTCTTCAATGGCAAAGTGTTGAAAATAGAATCAACCAGGCGCGTACGCAGGGGGGGGGGGGGGTTTGGGGGGTTCAACCCCCCCCTTTGGAAATTTTTTGTGTGTAAACCCCCCTAAAAAAAACCTAAAACCCCCCCCCCTTTTGGATTTTTTTTTTTTTTTTTTTTAATTATTAAAAAAAAAAAAAAAAAAAAAAAAATTATTCCCATGGCCGACCTAAAAAAGGTGACCTTACCCCCCCCCCCCCAACGGAGCAAAATGTCAAATTCCCAAATTTCGAGACCAAAAAAAAAAAAAAAAGGGTCCTCTTACCCCCCCCCCCCCCCCCCCCCCCCCCCCCCCCCCCCCGCTTATTCAGCGGTCGGCTGAGTCGTTGCGATTTTTTTGGGACCAAAAAAAAAAAAAAATGTGTCCTCTTACCACCCCCCCCCCCCCCGCTTATTCAGCGGCTGGCTGAGTCGTTGCGAAATTTTCGGACCGATTTATAAATGTTAAAACCCCCCCCTTGAAAAAATCCTGCGTACGCGCCTGGAATCAACTACCACTACTTCATTTTCGTCTACAAAATACTCAATAATCTAACCCCTTATTATTAATAATCTTTTGCTTGTAAACGTCCAGTTTACTATGTTACCCGTCATTCTACCTTAAATCCATTATTTATCCCGAAACCCAAGACTGAATTTAAAAAACGATCTTTTTCTTTCATCGATCCAAGTATCTATAACAATCTACCGACTCATATTCGCACGTCAACTTCACTCCCAATGTTCAAAAACCACGTTAAGTCACTCCCTTCATCACTTTCATGCATGCACTGGTACCCAATGTTATATCAAGACTTTTACCATACAGTTAGTTGTGTTTGTTTTTTTGTTTTTTTGTAGTAATTGTGTAGTCTGTTGTAGTTTTATTTCTTACCTTTTACCTGTTTGATTTTATGTCTATTTTTATGGCATGTGTATTTTTTGTTGTTGGTCATTTTACTTTGTATCAATAATATCTTAAATGTTTAATATTTTAGACCTTAATAAAAAAAAAACATGTTCATTTTGATCTAGTTTTTAATTTGTTTTAGTTTTGTTTTAAGTTCCATTTGATATAATTTTCTCAATCTCTAATGGTATGTTGTTTATATAATGTCTTTGTTTTCTACAATGTATGCCTATTTTTGTGTGTAAATCTTTGTATGTACAGGGCTCTTTTGTAAAGCAGGCCTTTGGCACTGAAAAGACTACCCTGTTTTTAAATAAAACTGAATAAATAAATAAATAAATCTAGCTATATCTTTCTCACCCATGCATATCCCCTCTTTCTCCCACACACCCTCCCACCCGCAACCCCACTCACACATTGGCACATATTACAATTTCCCCCTTGATTTGACTTTCTTGCCTTCTTAAAGTAGTAATTCTATAAAAAGATAACTATATATCAATGGAAAGCTTATCAGTACGGCATTGCTTCAATCGCCTACGTATCATCGAAGCCACCTAATATGTATGATTTCGGTTTCGTTTATTGGAGGGGAGGGGGGGGGGGGGGTGCCAAGATTCAATGTCAAATGTCTGATTGTGGTCACATATGTATTACGTTTCACTTTCTATAGATCAAGAGCTTCCATTTGACATGCAATGTACGTTAATCAATGTCTACTTTAACGTCCATTACACTACTCAAGGAAATAATTTTATTCGTGCTCTCATATTCCCCTCTCTTTCTTTCCGCTCTTGTTTCCCCTCACTTTCTTTCTTAACTAGTGTATTACTCTGTTTCTATACTTTCTTGTACTTCCTTGTAATTACGTGTATTCGCGCGTGTAATAATTTTTCCTCTTTAATATATATTTTGTTTCTGTCCCCTTCTCTCCGTCTCTCTCTAACTCTCTCTCTCTCCTCTCTCTCTCTCTCTCTCTCTCTCTCTCACACACACACACACACACACACACACAAACACATTCGCAGTAGTTGCGACCACCGATCAGACACTAAAGAAAATGACAAAAAGGTGTCACCCACACTCACACACTCACGCACTCGCACACGCCCACACTCAAATCCGTCGAAAGTTACTAGGTCACTCGAATCAACAAATTTCTTCTTCCAAACAATCAACCCACATCCTGCGATAATCATATCATTTTTGCAATGTGACGTCATTGTTGTGCTTGCAAGTGGTCATACTAATTGCACATTGTCCCAGTTCGTACATTCAAAGTACTTTAATGGCGGCAGCCAACGTCATTTTCTTTGCAGCAAGACAGCAAATTTGTTATCGAAATCTGAGTCGGAACTCGATTTTCAACCGGAAAGCCGAGTAGGCTTGCAATTTCACAATAACCTTTGCTACCCGTGACCTAACCTCTCTCTCTGAAGTCGGATAATACACAAAATTGTTATAAAATTGAATGTAAGATTCACTTTGTTTTATTTCCCCGATAGCCTTTCCCCATTTCTCGTTGATAATGAAAACTGGTTTACTACAAAATATTTCAAATGCCAATAATATTATATTCCAAAGTTGTATTTGTACTGATCCCATATACCCCCTTTTTATGTTTTGATTTACAAGCCTGCGGTTCCATCGATTTATGGTCGTAAAGAATGTTTGTTTCATTTTTGTTTATTTTCACAGTGCCAGGTCGTACAAGCCAACAACTGAAGCTCATATGCATTGATTGTCACTCAGTTGATATGATCTTATTCCGAAAAAAGGAGAATGATTGGAAGTAGAATCATATTCTATCAAACTGGGAGTGACCATGACAGTATTAACATCGGAGAGTGAACCGTTGATTAATCCGCTCTTGATTCAATTTGATTTGATTTGATTTTGTTTGATTTTACTTGATTTATTGGTTTATTCATCATCTTAACAAACATTTGTTGTTGTTATTAATGTAAAATCGATACAATTTTCTGATTAACTGCTATTTCTATCTAGAAGGTATAAATCTTTAAATGGACCTTGAGACACACATTCTCCGTGACTGCCTGTACTGTCCCTTTATAGCTGTTCTTGCTATAGCTGCTCAAATGACGTTCCCGTCCATTGTTTGATCATGGTTTGATGTTAAGGACTTTCAGATTTGCATGTCGACCTAGTGGACTGCTATGTGTGACGTCCTTTTAACTATGCGGACATGCAAATCTAAAAATCCCTAGTATCAGTTCTAGATGCATGGTCTTCCCCTCTTTGCGAGATGGTGTTTTCCAAACCATCTTCGATCTAGTTACGGGCTAGTTACATGTCCGAACCACTGTAGCTGTCTTATTTCCACACACTATGAACATGACGGACAATGAAAGCGGACAAAATATACAGTTCCTCAGGTAGACAAAGGAACATCCCTTCACTGCTATTATGTAAAAAGGTGAACATGCATGTGACACCTGTGCTACACATTTTTACATAATAGCAGTGAAGGGATGTTCCTTTGTCTACCTGAGGAACTGTATATTTTGTCCGCTTTCTTTGTCAGTCATATTCATAGTGACAACAGGGCAATTTC